TCAGGGCCTCCTCTTCGTTATCAATTTGGCATCTGGGCTCTTCAACCTGCGGAAGCACTTGCGCGCAAAGGCCGCTCAGGCCGAAGCGAGAGGAGCCCCACCCACCTTGGCCACGAATGCCTTGGATGGCAAGGCGTAGTGATGTGGGCAGCTGGGAGCTGGGGTGGTGCATGTAAATTCGGAATTCGTTTTTGAGGGTCTGTGCTTTGCTGCGCTCTGGGATTCGCAAGATGCTGGATGCTGGCCTGCTGCATGGTCCACTGCTTGCATGCCCGAAGCAACCAAAGCTGCTGTCAGTGTGACGAACACAAAGCACTGGCAAGATTTGGACCATGCGACGTCCCTTTGCCTCTCTGTCCAGGAGTTCCAGGTTCGTGCCAAAGGCACTGCCACGCAGTTTTTTCATAGCCAGTCGAGCCCTTGAAGACGCCAGCAGTGTTGTGAGTCTGACAGAGTCCGCCGTCCGAATCTTGCGGTGGCTCTGTGTTCTGTGAGGTCATGGGTCAACGAAATAAGCTCACTCTGCAGTGAGCTTGCAGGATTCACGAACAGATGTCTCCCAGCGCAAACGAACACACAATTGCCCCGATTCTCGCGTGTGTGCTCGGCTCCGCGTGCCAAGGACTGTCGAAGGTGGTGTTGGCAGACTGAAGCCGTGAGCAGTCGCAAAGAAAGAAAGGCGGGAGCTCGGGTGCTTGTCTCAAGACTTTCGATGAAGTAGGTATGGCTCCTGTCTGTGTAGTGAAATAAACTTGCACGCTGCATGCTCAGCGTTGAGTTTTGGCTGCCGGGTGCAGCACCGCTTCAAGCCTTGCACCTTCCACCAGCGAGCCCAAGCCCAACTTCAGCCGCCAGCTTCAGCGCCGCACTTGTTATCCACCAGTGACGAAGCAGATTTGTATCTAAGACAGATGCCGCAAGCTAGACGGAAGCACAAGCCAGTCGCAAGCTGCTCCGATGGTGCGACATCGGTGGCGCAGAGCTGGGGCGCAGTCCTTGGCGGTCGAAAGCGGGGGGCGGGGGGTGTTGGAGCTCGTGCCACGAGCTGTCACGAGCTTTGGCAAGGCTTCTGCACAAGTTGATTCCGAGAATGTTGCTGAAAGATTGCAGCAGGCAGCCACCGTGGTAGTTTGCAAGCTGGCCCCAACACCATTGACATCAGAAATGTCCTTGACGAGAGCTTTCCTCTTTCGGGCCCGGCCAGCTCTATGATCCACATCACAATTCCGGCAATCACGTCCAACAAGCGTCCTGAGTTCGTGTTTTTTTCCCAGGCCTGCATCGTTGGCATAGTGACTGCAGCTTGCTTTGTGGATGGCGGCGTGCGCAGGCCCGTCATTGCTCTTGATCTTAAACCTTTCACGGCCCTGAGCAGCTTTCACTTTTCAGGAAGACCGCAGAGTGGAAGAGTTCGCCACAAACTAGGAAGAACTCGCATGAAATTCGTCCGCCAGCAGGTTCAAGCGCTTTCGAAGTAATTTATTGTAAGATCGATGACTCGACCAAGGCATACAAATTCACCTTCTAGCTTCTTAGTGTGTGCCTGTGGGTCCCGTGCACAGGTGCGTAGGATCGCCGTAATGATTCCCATGCGCAGGACAAGTCTCCAACTGCGACGCACCGCTTTACAGGCCGTGGCGCATCTGCAGCATGTTTGTTTGAGAGGGTGTCCCAGGATGTGATGTGTTGATTCAGATACCGGAGTGAGAAGTGGAATGAAGGCGGACGCAGCACCGGAGCCCCGTGACGGAGTTGCCCCTTGGACATGACCAGCTTCGTGATTTTACCCATGCTTCGGAGAGACGCTGAGAAGCGATTCGTAACTCGAGGCATCCTGCTCTCAAGCCACCCTAGCAGCTTCGTGGAAGCCCCATCACTCGCTACAATCATGGGCTGCTGCAAGTGCTGCACTCCTAAAGTGCAGGCCATCGTGGGCCTGTCTAGTGCCCCGCTGAACTTTGCAATCTTGATCTGGGCGATTGCAGAGAAAGTCAGATGGACTCCGTTCTATGTGCCTCTAGAGTGCGACACACCGACTCCCGATGGCGTGAGGCTCTCATTGCTGAGCATGCCGTCTCCTTATGCTGAGTCGATGGGTTTGACCCCGGGGTCTCCTCCACATGGCATCTACGCGAACATGACTGTCAGCACGTCCTGCTTCAACCCGGGTCAGGCAAAGACGACCATTCTTGCCGCAGGTTTCGAGGCTGTCGAGCTGGCACCAAACCTCACTGATCTGGAGAACGGTGGCTTCGGTGTGCCGTATACGGTGAGCGCGAGGGCACACTTGGCCGGGGATGCAGTGTATCCCATCGGGGGTCGGGGCGAGATGGTGACTGTCGCACAGACGGCAATGACCATGGAAAACATTTTGGCGAGCATGACCCCCGATGCCATCGCGCGCGGCTACTCGCTTTCCTACGCCCGCGTCACTCAGACAGTGCAGACATGTGCCGCGATCTTCGGCCTAGTGAGCTGCACCGATGTGCCATCCGAGCAGTTCTGCGGATCCTATGCAGGCCTTCGGTTTTTTTCTCCTCGGTGGGTTTCACTGTCTCCCACATGCACGCAAGCCCCTGGCAAGGAAACTGCGTGGTGCCAGTGCTCGACTCTTCTGGTGATCCTGTCGTGCCGGAGCAGCTGGAGCCGGCTCTCTGCGCCTACACCGGGTGCGGAGCTGTCGAAATCGCGACCCAAGCCTTGAAACTCCTACGAGTAGGGCTATCACCTGCCCCCGCTGCCAACACCACACCGGACGAAACGCCCCCGGTCACAGGAAGCTCTGTGGCGAAGAGGCCGAGGTCCATGCCCAGCTGAGCCCGGAGGCAATGGGAATTGAGGCCATGGCACATTCAGCATGCTAAGAGAGATCGCTGTCTTTTTCCGCACTCTGCGACTTCCTGTCATGTGTCACATGCGAGGTGGTGAACCGGACAGCCTGCGATGCTGCGCTGGGGCTTCCCAACGGCACCCTGTGCAACGCCATCGAGGCGCCAGGTGTGGACCCGGCCACTCTGCGGCCACGTGCCGTGGAGCCTGCTATCACCCTGACCACAGAGGCTCTTGCCCGGATGAACGAGGGCCTGGCGGTGGCAGAGTCGGCCATCAACATGATGATTTGGTTGTGCATTGGCTTTCAGGGCCTCCTCTTCGTTATCAATTTGGCATCTGGGCTCTTCAACCTGCGGAAGCACTTGCGCGCAAAGGCCGCTCAGGCCGAAGCGAGAGGAGCCCCACCCACCTTGGCCACGAATGCCTTGGATGGCAAGGCGTAGTGATGTGGGCAGCTGGGAGCTGGGGTGGTGCATGTAAATTCGGAATTCGTTTTTGAGGGTCTGTGCTTTGCTGCGCTCTGGGATTCGCAAGATGCTGGATGCTGGCCTGCTGCATGGTCCACTGCTTGCATGCCCGAAGCAACCAAAGCTGCTGTCAGTGTGACGAACACAAAGCACTGGCAAGATTTGGACCATGCGACGTCCCTTTGCCTCTCTGTCCAGGAGTTCCAGGTTCGTGCCAAAGGCACTGCCACGCAGTTTTTTCATAGCCAGTCGAGCCCTTGAAGACGCAAGCAGTGTTGTGAGTCTGACAGGGTCCGCCGTCCGAATCTTGCGGTGGCTCTGTGTTCTGTGAGGTCATGGGTCAACGAAATAAGCTCACTCTGCAGTGAGCTTGCAGGATTCACGAACAGATGTCTCCCAGCGCAAACGAACACACAATTGCCCCGATTCTCGCGTGTGTGCTCGGCTCCGCGTGCCAAGGACTGGGACGGTTTGGGTTTCGGCCTGACCACCAAAGCCACGCAAATGGTCGTGCCAACCCCGGGCTTGTAAACCGAAGATGCCCACAGAAACTAAAGTATGCGCACCTACTGACTATTGCTAAATGCCTTTGCGGCTGCTGCGACGACCAGGACGGCGACGACGACGACGACGACGACCAGATCCACGACACGACCTCGGCCGCGCCGAAGCCGCGGCTGCGGCGACCACTACTACTATCTACTTTGCATCTGTATACCTGCCATTCTTCTTCTAGTTAAGTGCGAAAGTGCAGAGCAATGATCGGTCAGTCTGTGGCACAGCCCTTTCCAGCAAAAGCGTACAAGACAGCTACGTTCAACAGATGGACGTCCCATCCCAGATGACCAATGAGTGTCCTCGAGAAGCTGTGTGAGGTTGCCAAATGCCCCCTGGGTGGCCAGTGGTCTGACTTCGAGGTGCCGGGGCGCTGCGGGGCTGGTCATCGTTCGCAGTGGCTAGTGAGGCTGGTGCCGAAGCGCTCTGCAGGTTCAGCCGTATGGACCTCTCCAGCTGGAGCCTGCCGCGAGCCGGCTGAGACTGATCGGTGTTTGAACTCTCCCTGTGCCTGCGTGATACAGTACCTACGGTAAGCACGTCTTGGGAAGGGCTTTTCCTCACTTGAACATCGCTCGAAGCTCTCAGCCTTGGTGCACGCAACTGCCAGCAAATCGCACAGTGGGTATTGGGCTGATCTTGTGATCCCCCCGGTGCCTGTCCAAGACGACAGCGCTGAACTACGGCCAGTCCATCTTCGAGGGGCTGAAGGTGCGTGGTCTACCGGGATCCAGGGTTAGCCGAGGCATCTCAGGAGCTTCGGAACATGAACAACCACGGTCCAAACGTCTGTGCGAAACGTACTGGAGCCTTCCCGGGTGTAGGACCCCGAACCCCCTTTAGAGGAATGTTTGCCTGTCCAGTCCGTGGAAGTTTTGTGAAGACCCATTACAGTAATGTTGCAGCGCTGGACATCTGTGTTTCCTGAATTTCAAGCCTAAGCGGATGTCTGCAAGGCCTTCCGGACCAGCAAAGGCAGCAGGCTTAGGATGACTGGCCGGTTGCATGACATCACTCCATCCATTGCCTCTCCCTCGAGGCAGGATCGTCCTGTTCCGGCCAGACAAGAATGCCGAGCGATGCTCGGCCGCAGGGTCGCAGCTTCAGATCTGGAAGCAACTTTAGTGGATTCTGTGCTGCTGAGGCATGGCAGGAGGCGCAGAGAGGCCTGGGAGGGATGGCGGATAGCATTTAGATCTGGTGACTGGTGCACCTGGTCAGTGTTCAGGGTCTGCATCAAGTTCTTCCGAGGGCTCCGAGTGATGGTCTTGCGACGCCAGCTTTGTCTGCGTCAAGCTGGCGGAACAGCCGTCTTCCTGTACCAGCTTGTGGCACTTCAACAAACTCGTACCTGGGATGACAAAGGATGTTTGATGATGTCTGCATGTAGATGCTACATCGGAGAAGGGGGCTGGTCGTAAGTTGCAGGACTGGGTCTAACGCTCCTCGGAAGAGCTCCGATCCCGAGAGTCTCAAATCCTCGCGATCAGGTTCCTGATGCCCCCGGTGCCCCCGGACCTCTTCATGCAGATGTGCCGAGATGCTGTCCGCACCTTGCCGCCATGGATCTACAGAAAAATATTCCCGGGCTTGTGCCCGAAGAAGACGTAGTGGCACGACCGACGCCTAGGTTTGGCGAATGAACTTGAGACCCCACTCCACAACTCACAGAAGGAATAGTTCATGGAGACCAAGTAGCACTAGCCGCCAGCTCAAGCACCTGCCGTGAGGTGCTAATGCGGACTGGGTGCCTCCAACAGGCGAGGAACCGAGGAGGGTTTCCTTGTGGGGGCTTCTGCCTTGGAGCTTTCCAGCCCAGGCAAGGGCTCCTTGTACATGCGACCCCTTCTCTTTGGCAGCCCTGGCCTCAGCAAACGAAGGCTTCGCCGACATGGAAGTGCTGCTTGTCTTAGGGACTCAGGGATCATCCAGAATCCGTCTTCGCCGGGTCATGGTTTCGATATTCCCAGACCCTGCCGGATCTGTGCGCTTCCGCTGACTTTGCAACGCGAAGCGTTGGACATCATTGAACCTAAAGCTGAGAAGTCGAACCATCAAAGGCGCTGCTCAACTCAGTTTCATCACCAACATGCAGCTACGATGATTCTCACGAGACGGAGTCATCTTGAGGCGGACCTGCGCTGGGAGTGGGCAAGACCCCCAGCTATGGATGAAGAGTGCTCTTGCTTACAGCCCGTGCAAAGCCAAGCATCTCAACCACCAAAAGAACCCCCCAAAAACCGATGAGAATGCGCTCCCAAGACGAGCCCAAAGACTGAATCCCAGGCTCAGACCCCCAAAAAGAAATCGCGCGCGCGAGACTTCGCTAGCGAGATCAGGCCCGAGCCCCGAGTTCACCTTCGTCATCTACGTGGCGCCCGTGGGGAGGTCCCCTGCGACGCGCTGTTTTCGGAGCTCTCTTAAAGGGAAGGACCCCGGAGGGTCCTCTCCACTGCTTTGGATCTACAACACGGTAGGCTCCCGGCTCCCGTGTCTGCTGAAACCCTCATAGTTCTGTCGCTTGAGAGCAGAAACACAACGTAGCACTGCAGCAGCCGCCGTGGCAGTTTCAGATCAGGGCAGTCGGAATATCTTGAAGTCAGAGGTCTCAGGGCCTCATTCTGGAAAGTTTGATGCAGTATTCTCTCCGTCTCGTTCGTATCTCCGCTCACTATAGTCTCGGCTCCAACGGACCAGATGGTTTCCTATTAGATGATTGTGGCTCCTCCGAGCTTCGAGCAAGCAGTCTCTTCTGTTGCTCTTGCATCTCTTAGGGCTTTCTGCGCTCTTCACCGCCGAACCGCGCGCAGTTACTTCTCCGGCAGCGGAGCGCGACTGCGGATCGAGCGAGGCCTGAGTGGGCGTCGAGAAAGGGGAGACGTGCAAGCTCTCAATTTCAAGACGGATGTTGGTGGGTCCGAAGCTCCGTGAGCCCAGGCCACCACCGGGCGGCCGAGCTGGGCGTTGGAGACGTGAAGGCCCGGGCCCAAGCCGGATCGGTTCGATTCGATGGCGGCCGACCCATGCGTGACCTTGCAGGCTGCGGGCAACTACGCGTGCTGTCCTCGGGGCTTCCGAAGGGCCGAAGTCAGGAGATTGGCTGGCAAAGGTCTGAGTCTATCGCATACTGCTTTTTTTGCAAACGCCTTCGTATATGAGGGTTACTTAGATGCGAGCACTATCGATCGCCCCTTCGGAGTTGTTCTTCCTGGAAGGTTCCACGATGTGTAGTGGATGGTTCCCCACGAGCCGTCTTCCCACTGGAGGCCTTGCTTCAGCCCGCAGAAGGATGCCAAAGCAGCAGGCCAGATCGGGATTCTTATAGCAGAGTCGACACCACCACACCCGGTAACGGTTGCATTTCGGTCCTGCTCGTGTGAACATCCGATGGATTGCCTAGAGACAGCCTGGACACTGGAACATTCCACCCGAAAAGCGGCAACATCACGCAGCCGGCGGTTTGGACCGACATTGACCGACAGCTCTTGAAGCCGCAACTGGCGGTCGGCCTCGGCTGTCCAAACACTTCGATCAGCTTAGACTCTTAGATCGGCCTCTAGCCATTATTCACCACTTCCTGTCTGTCACGAGAGCCCCTCCTCGCCATGCGCCGCCTCGCCGCGGCATGGCGGCCGCGGTGGCCTCGGCGGCCTCGGCTCCTGTCGAGTATTACGGCTGAGGCGGAGGCCGGGATCTTAGCGCTTCAAGTTCTGGCCTGGGAGTTCTCTGGTTTGTGGTATCTGTGCTGGGTGCCGTGAAGCTCCTGCTTTCTTCTTGTCGCGCGGATGTATGCAGGTGGGCAGACAGGGATATATAACGCTACGCATGTTGTACATATTTCGGGTACAGCTAGGTGCATCTTTAAGTCCGTCTTTATACATCCATGAACGCAGATGTAGTGCATTCACATTGTCAACCCACAAACCTCTGCAAAAGCAAGCTAATTTTTCATTTCGGCTTATATACCTGGCTGCATACCGTACCTTAACTTTGATAGAGAGTGAACCTGTGTACAAGCAACGGATCCACCTTATGTCCTCGGCCTTCCTTCCGTGAAAGGTCGGGGAAATCGTGGAGGTGCCCACCGAGACGCTTTCTACATTGGACCGGTATGGCCGGGGAGATCGGGTCGTCAAGCTCTCGTTGAGCGGAAGCTTGTCTGATGTTGGTTTTTGCCACACTGGGCCCACGGCACAAGCTTGTTGAGTTGCTGCCGAAAGCACGTAACGCTTAAAAAATGTGCGTTCTGATCGAGTGCGGCTACGGAGAAGGATCCAGCCCGGCCGATTCCCAACCGACAACAGGAATTTCCTGTGGAGTTCATCTACGTCCTTCGTCTCTTCCAAAGCGGGTTTGTATTGTTTGAAGCAGATCCTGGTAGCTCGAGCCCTTCAAGCTCCAGCTGATTCAAGCTCGAGGCACAAAGTTCCTCACACTGCGCTCGACACTTGCACACAGCGCGGTGCTGGACAGCATCGTGACGCGAGCTGAGACCAATGAAGCCTCTCGGATATCGTTGGTGCTCCGGGCTCCGAGTCCCCAGATCCCGGCAGGAGTCCAGCTCGGAGTCGTTCAACAATCCGGTATCACTGTCTTAATGTCAGAGGAAAGCCAGGAATGGAAGCCCCACTTTCACTTTCAGCATCTCCATGTAGATTGAGGATGTGCCGGCATGAAGCTAAGGATCTCGCGAATGATGGTGCCATCTTCGTTGATCGAGAGACTCCTCTGCACCTCATCTGTGAGCAGCTTCTATTGCAAAGCTAGTGTAGCCTGAGGAGTTTTATTTTCTACGGCTTCGAAGGTCAGGGTAGCAACATTCTTCTGGCAGATGGCAGAAGGAGTGGGCACATGCATTGTCAGGGCTGCTCAGTTTCCAGTTGGCTTGGATACTCCCTACTCCACGATGCATACGACCAAATGTCTGAACCTTCCACACAAGTCCTCACGCGCCTCAGGCGCAGGTGAGGAGCTTGAAAAAGACCGATTGTGCAAGCAAGTCCTTTCGCAGGTGTGTACCGGAAAATGCGCACTGTCAGGGCAAAACATGCTAAACGGACGTGGAACACGCTGGGGCCCATGGTTTTCTTTCCAAGTTTCTGCAGTGGGTCAGGCTTTCGAGTGGTTGCTTTTCGAGTGGTTGCTGAAGAAGCGCTATGCAACAGCCCCCGGAACTCATCACCACCAAACTTTTGTCTGTCAATCAGGTACCTGGTATGCAGCCGTTTTGAAGCTGCTCTCCATTGCCTGAGCGATAGTCTGTACTTCTAAGGATCCAAAGCACTTTCCGATTATCCTCAACCACTTGAGGCCCGTACGACCGAGTTTTGCTGCAGCATGTCGGACATCTTCCGTAGTTCCTGTTGGCCTTCACTTTACTCATGACCGTCAGACGAGGATGAAAGCGGAGGGCCGCGAAATCTTTCAAAACCCGTGCAAGTGGGTCCAGGCCTTGCCGATTTGTTGTTCCGCATAATTTGGTCGAGTTGTAAGGTCTTGTTTTGTGGTTGTAAACAGAGTTGCGAGGACAGCGCCTGCACTTCTTTTGGAAGGAGGTCCTCATCTTCTGAGTAAACCTTCCCAGCCGCTGCAGGGGAAGAGCCACGCACCCATGCTACCCAGAGACACCGCTGATCTGCGAGACCTCCTTGTGGAGGCGCCTATGAGTGAAAGCAGAGCAGTTCCATCGAGCTCAGTCAGTGTGTCAGATCCGCGTGGAAAGGCAGAGCATTATGGACTTCCAGAGCTTCGCAAAAGGAGCGCAGACGGCCGCAGGAAGCTTTTCTAAGAGAAGCGTCGTTTTGGTTTCGGAGGATCCTGTCGAAGAGGAAGCTGGCGAGGCTCTTTAGCGTCATGGCGGGTAGCTCAGGCCGGGTGCCCAAGCTCCGCCTTGGCGTCTAGAGGAATCGTCGAAAGCACTCGCAGGCAACCCCTTCGACAGTGCCACGCGTGTACTGATGACGATACGTGCCCCGGACAAACTGATGAAATCCTGAGGGAGATGGAGAACTTCTGTGCTGTGTTGCAGATCGAGTCCGAATCTTGGGGTTCTCGCTCCCCACTGCCCTGAGAGCGAGAGGCAACACAACTCTGCTGCTGGGAACGGGGCTCGCCAGCAGCCAGGCCGATCATCTTCATCTTGCAACGAGGGACGGATTTTCCCAGCTTGATTGATTCCTGCTGAGCTGCGGAAGGTCTTGCTGAGCCAACTGAAAGAATCCAAGGACTGCACATTCATGACCGGGGATCTGCTAGTACTAGGTAGTCGGGTTTTCAGTGTTCTGACGGACTCAAGTTCAAAGTCCGGAAAAGAAGTCTCTCCTGGTGGTGAAACGTTGACGCCTCTCGAAGTTTCGAAGCGCTGTCTCTTGTGTGCTGAGGACCCCATGCAAGCCTTGGATGCTGTGACCAACTTCACGGCGACCCGTGCGGGGACATCGAAGTCGTAAAACATGGCAGCGAGGCAAAGAGCGAAGCAGAGCGAAGTTTTAGACTTTTATTGGCTCTTTTTGTTTATATTATTGTTAATATTATTGCGTTTCTATTCCTGCAATATTTATTTGTCATTTTTGTTAGCGTTATTTCCTCGCCCTGCTACGTTGCCTCGGTCACGGGGCCACCAGAGCCTTTCGAAGCCTTTCAGCCGGGCCCAGCCGGAGTCCGCAAAGATGAGCCGGCCAAGCCTGCTTCGCATGAAGCCTCGCAGCATTTTCCAAGGGTCGTTGGTTCAAAAGCAGCCGGAATCGTTTCTATGGCGCAGGCCAAAAAAGGCATTCTGTTCGCTGGAAACCTGGGTTGGAAATCTTGAGCCTTCGGAGGCTTCTCCGACATCCTCTACTTCGATCCCAGCGGTGAGCGAGTGGAAGAGGCCATGACAGTCAGTTGAACAACAGCTGAGAAGGCTCTTCACAAGAGTTCATGGCTCGCAGAGCAGTCAGCTGCACGCTGCAGAGGCTGCGGCGAGCAATTTCTTCTGCATTACTGAGGACTTGGTCTTTCGGGTGTGAGCCGACTTCAGGCGTTCTGTTGGCATCTGGAGTGAGTAGAGAATTCAGAGTTGCGCGAGACGGCCATCATAGTACAACGTAGACGAGAGCTGAGAGGCTGCATGGGTTGAAGGAGCAGGGTGGGGATGTTCTCATGTCGTTTGTCAGGACGGCGTCTTGAAGACACCTGAGCTTGGTACCATCCTGCAGGAAGCCAAGGATTTGTTTTGAGTCGCGTCGCATGCAAATTATCCTCCAAATCTTTAACTACCGTCAGCATCATCGTCATCATCATCATCGTCATCGTCATCAGCGCCGTCGTCATGATCACGATTTTAATCATCGTCATCAGCATTGATCAGTGTTAGTATCCATTCCGGACCACTAGCAGTGTGGCTAGCCGCAGGGTTCCCAGGACAGTATAATGAAAAGCTAGGAGGCACTTGCGCATTAACGCCTCGTGAAGCTTGCGGTCTTCTTGGTCCCCTTTCCGGAAGTCCCTCTGGTTAGGATTGATTTTCTGAAGTCTCTGTGTCTAGTGCACTGTCGCCGTCGCTACCGATGAACATACCGTCGACTTTGCATGGCCACTGTCCATATTCGCAAAGCATCTTTTTGAGGTTAATCACTTCTAGTCTGCATTGCGCACCCGGCAAGCCACGTGTCAAGACGAAAGTCCTTAGTTGGTTCGGGCTGCGCACGACCTGCAGTTACAGCTTGGTGGGCAGTGAAATCCTGACTTTCGAAGGTGGCGAACTTTGAGAGCAAGAGGGCCAACGAACAGCCTTAGGTCTGTGATTCTGATCAGTTGATCAAACCTGCCACGTGGAACGCAGGAGTGCTGTTGAGCAATGTGCCAATCAAACATGTAAGAGGGCCCCGTGTGCGTGGACAGTGCAGCACCGCTCATGCCCCCGTCGAGTTTGACAAGCGTGTAGAAGTGTAGCAAAAGCATTTCCGGATGAGCTCCAACTTTACTGTTCTTGACAGCTTCTTGTTGGAGACTGTGGATCAAAAGCGCCGTTCCCCTCCTAAGGCTAACGTGCAGGATCCGAGTATTATGGTGGATGGTCGTGAAAGAATCCATCAGCAATCTTCGTTATTGCTGACGTGACATCATGCGGATGGGACTTCACTTGCTTTGATGTGGCGCATTCTGCGTCCTCGCACTGCCCTGCTGGCGGGCTTTGGAGCCATAGAAGCTACCGAGGTCCGGGGTAACGCGCGACTCCATCCTGCAGCTGGCCAGGTGGGAGGGGCCTCGAATGAAGCGCAAATCGCATCTGTGCATCCTTAGCGTGATGCTTCGTGCGAAGAACTGCCTGCAGAGACACCTGCAAACAAATGAACACATGAATTAGTGCATGAGTGAACGAACGATCGAATGCAGGAACAAATGAGTGAACGAACGAACGAATGAATCAATGAACGAACGAGTGAGTGAACAAACATGTCAGTCATGGAATTATGAGTAAGGCACTCAGTAAGCAAGGACTTATGCATGCTCGTAAGTACGCAAGCAAGCATGCATGCATGCATGCACTTACGTACGCATGTAGGTATGTATTTGTCTGTATGTGTGTGTCTCTCTGTAGGCATGTATGCACATTTGTAGACGCATGTAAGCATATATATATATATACGTATATATATATATATATATATGCACATACATATGAATGGCTACACATGAATACGTGTAAATACATGTATGCTTCTACGTACACACGTATGCAGGTGTACATATGTGTACATATATATACATACGTATATGGGTATGTATATATGTGTATATGTATGTATGTATGTATGTATGTATATATGTATATATGTATATATGCATATATGCATATATGTGCATATGTACCTATGTACACTACATATTTTTCATGTATATGTATGTTTCCATATATGTGTACATGTATATATGTATGTCTGTATATATGTATATATGTATTTTTGTATATATGTATATATGTGTAGGTGTATTTATGTGTACATGTATACATGTAAACACATATGTATATATATATATATATATGTATATGTATATGGAGATGTACATATACGCATACATACATACATATATATATATATATATATATATATATAAACGTATTGTATATGTATACATGTACACATGCAATATAAAAAATTGCATATGTTTGTATTTCTATTTGTGTGCATGTACATGTGAACATCTGCATCCCTGTTGATGTGTACCTCTCTGTCTCTGTGTAACTATATGTATAGTTACTTTGATGTGTATATGTATGTGTACACGTGTATGTATCTGTGTATGTTTCCGTGTATGTGCATGTGCATGTGCAAGTATGTGTGTATGCATGTATGCATGAATGCATGTGTGCACGTATGTACGTATATGTACACGTATACGTAGTAGAAGTATTTAGTTGCTATGTGTGGAAGGAGCCATGTTTTGACGGGTTGCATGAGCATGCAACCTAGAGTTGCCGGTCAATAGGGCCACCCAGGGACGCATCGTGAGACCTCTCTCGCGGCGAGTGAAGAAGAAGTATAAGTATACGTAAGTGTACATGTAGATGTAGATGTTTATAGATATAGGTATCCGTATATGTACATGCAGATGTGTATGCATGTACATGCGTATAAATACGCATATGTACAGGTATATGCATGCATGTGTGTCTTCCTGTATTTGGCAACATCTCTTGGAAGGGTTGCAGAGGTGTTGTGACGTGGACACTCCCGGCTCCTCACCCTGTCCCAGTCCCTCAACGTTGGTGTTGTTCTCCTCTTTTCAAGGCTTTCACTTGGCCACTTTTGCCTCTTGAGCAGTTTCCGTTTCGGCATAATTCTTTAAACTGGTGAGAGAGCCTGAAGTCTCATGCCGCGAACATCCAGTTGCTACAGCCATGTTAACCACCACTCTTGCATTGCTAAGTGACTGCTGAAATCTTGTTTGGCATAAAGCCGACAGCAGTGTTGCCATGACCTTCAGCAAAATCTGCCTTTGCCATGCTGACCTGCATCCAGGGAAAACGCAGACACAATCTCAATGTCCTGTGACGGTGGGCCAAACTCGAGTTACATAAGCCGGCTAGGTGGGAGGCATGCAAACCCGTCGGAAGGACGCCCGTTGAAGGGATCACGAGTTTGGGCCGTTTGAATAAAACTCTGTGCAATCAGAAAGCAGTGTCAGGAACAAAGGTACCCGCCCCGGGCCCACCCCTGTTGACATCTATGCTCAAGATGGCTCACGGCTGAATCCTCGCGTCATAAGGAAATTTGTGACCCGACTTCCATCCGAAGCTGTCTCTATCCGTCTGCAGTTCAAAATTCACCTCTCGATTATGTTGGAGGGTACGTAAGAGGCTGTTCGAAAGCAGGGTGTCATAAACGTATCTCGTCACAGTACCTCGAGGCCACAACATTTAATGGAGTCCTGCTGGCTGGATTCAGGAATATGGCGGCTTCTGGTGAGCTGAGTGGTGTGCAGGCGCGGCCTCTCTCTCTCTCTCTCTCTCTCTCTCTCTCTCTCTCTGTCTCTCTGTGCATGTAAACACAGACATATATATATATATATATATGTATGCATGTATGTATGTATGTATGTATGTCTATGCATACATCTATCTGTCTGTGTGTCTGTGTATCTATCTTTCTGTCCCCTTGCAAGTACATACACAACAACAAGCGATGTTTGGTGTTATTGCTGCGGTCATCTTACGTTTTTTTGTGCGATTGCAATGCTAAGTACGGCATGTGTGGTGATGTGTTGTACATGGTAGCGGCTTAGTAGCAGTTCACGTATCGGTCGGAATCAGATTCGCGTGACTGAAGCTGCTGGGGCACCGTTCCGCGAGTCTTCGACCTTCAGCTCCCAGAACTCAGTCGAAGCACGCCTGGTCGGTCGAAGAGCGGACAACAGCATCCTAGTGCCCGTGACGATGACATCAGCAGCACGCACACATGCATGCATGCATGGATGTATGTATGTAAGAATGTTTGGGCGCAGCACAGGAAGGCACGGTGACCTGGGACGATATCCTGTCGGCGAAGGAGGTCGAGCAAGGGTGCTTAGGCTTCGGATCGAGCAGGGTTTTACGATTGTAGTTGGTGCTGGAGTGGCTTCGGCACAGCTGTGCTAACTTGGCTTTAGGGCCGAGGAAAAACGTTTTGGGCTTCATCATCCTTCGCGATTGAGCCCGTGCGTGTTTGGTGCAAAAGCCTATTTCAGCTGAAGGGCTGCTGCCAGCCCAGGGCCTGTGTAGATTTGCCGTGCGACTCGGCTGCGTGATGGCCGAGACAGTTCGGATGAATGGCTTCGTGAAGGCAGACGTACAGCTCACGCCAGGAGAGAGACCACTGTTCGACTACAGTTGCTTTACTGGAGGTTTTGCATCATGCTTCAAGTATTTTTGCTTGCCTCCTTGCTCGTCTCGCTGTCGCATGACGGTCAAGAACATGAGGAAGCAGCAGGCGAATCTTCCAGTCGACGTGGCTGATGCGCGGAAGAAAGAGGTAGAAGAGGGCTTGAGCAAGCATGACTTTTTCGAGAAGTACGGCTTCGTCCTCCTAAAACATCAGAGCAAGATGACTGCAGAGGACTGGCTGGCAGGCAGCACGAAGCCCTCACCGGAAACGTCTCCTGGGAAGCCTTCATCCTCGAAGGTCCGTGACAGCTATGCTAAGGAGATCGAGCCACTGATCCGGGAACTCTTGCCGAAGGCCTCCGAGATCTCTTTTCCATCATTCGCTCTGCGCCGTGGACCTGGTGGGCCCAACCCCTTTTATGGTTTCGGGGTGCACCAGGACTACGGGTTGTATCCCGAGGACATGAAGACGACCTACAAGATAGCCTACGCGGACCTCGAAGGCAGCTTCGAGGATTTTCTGGAGCGGTGTTATCACGAAGACACCGCAGGATTCTCGATCATAAACTTCTGGCGCCCTGTGCCGCCCATGGCAGGCCCAGTGAAAAGCACACCCCTGGCAGTTTGCGATCCCAGCACGGTGAAGGTCGAGGACTGTGTGCCGATAGAGATGTACGGCTTTGTTCCTGGAGGTCAGCGCAGCTTGCTACTCAGGCAGAATGCGGACCAGAAGTGGTACTACTACCCAGACATGACCACGGACGAGGTCTTGGTGTTCCGACAATTCCACTATGAACGAGGCATGCAAGCCCCTTACCACCGAATCAAGACGGTCTTCCACACTGCCTTCAAGCATCCGGGGTCCTCCCCTCAGGATGAGGCTCGCAGCAGCAGCGAGTATCGGCTGGGAGTGTGGCTGAAATAGCGTAGGCTTGGCCCTTTCAGTGCAGTAAGGAGTCATGCTCTTCAACCTCAGCACGCGAGTGACGCGAATGCTTGAGGATGTACAGGCCCCCATGGCTTCAGCCTCCAAGCTGCGCCCGCGAAAACATCCTCCAAGGTGTTCGGTTGTACTGCAGGAGGCTACGGCTACGGGCAGTCTCCGGCTTTAGCTTTTTGTCTTCAGCTTCGGATTTGAGCCTGCATCATCGGGTGGTGAGGGTAAGAAATGTGATGTTTCCGCCATCCGCCATCGCGTAATGACGTGATGTGTAAGTCTCGGCCATCGCCTAATGAGGGGACGGATTCAGCAATTGTGATCAACCCCACATACCGGTGAGAGTATGACACCATGTGGACGAACCCGACAAACCTCATAGGGTGGCCCTGTCAGGTTTTGAGGCGTTTCGCTTGCTTTTGAAGACAACCACCAGCAAAATCATTCCTCCCGGCACCGCCCTGAGCATCGCTCCCCCCGATGTACTGAGACGGGATTTGCCGGTCATCTGAACGAATGCAAGAGCCTCACAGTGTCCGCTAGGACTTGTGGCACCTCGAGCGTTTTGAAGGCACCACCTTTAGCATCGTCCCCCCTCCGCCACGCGCATGGGTGGGATTCAGAGGAATACGTGGAACCCTGAATCTCCAAATGAACGCAGCCCGCCTCTGACCGTGGAAGTAGGGCGGTATGTTTGTAGCGCAAAAAGGAAACAAAGAAGCGCCAACACAGAATCAACGCAAGCCTGAAGCAAGCTCGCGAACCTCTGGTTATAAAACTGGTTAGAAATCATAACACCCGATCCCTGGAACAGTAAACGATCCCGTCCCTGGTTCGCAAAAGAACACTTGAGGCCCTTTCGTCAGCGCTCCCAGAGTCGCAGAGAGAGTCAGCGAGCGTAGTGGCGTAGTAGTACCGGGACTCCTGGGACCTCCCAACCCTGCAGGGGAAGCAGTGGCGGCACCGCCTGCAATGGTAATGAAGGGCATGAGTGAAGCTGTTGTCAGAGCTTGGAGCCTCAATCAATGTCTACCTCCTCCGCTTTTTGAAAGAGTCTTGCAGATGCAAGGCCTTCGTGTCCGGAACCGCTGCTGCTGTCCGAGGCTTAGGTCACTTCACGGAACCGCTGGTCTCGAAATTACACCAGATGCAAAAGCTAAGCTTGAGAGAGCTGATTCTCTGTGAAATCCGTTACGGTAGAGCGTTATGTAGTCTTCAATGAAGACAGAGCACTGGCTAAAGATAGTTGAGTCGTGAGGTGAAGTATGATGTTCACTCTCAACTGAGCTCCTAATGCCAGCACACAGACAGACTGCGGGTGTCAACATCCGCGGTCAAGAGGGAAACATTCCAGATCGCAGTTTATGGCGCCCAAGTGCGAAGACAGTTGGTTTACAAGCAGCTCCTTCAAAAGATAGCGATCTTCACGCAAGATAAGACGCGAGTCTCTTTTTCGCTGAGGAAAGTTTTCTGAAAGCTGTTGGAGGAAGACTTCAGATATGAGAAGCAGTTTAAGCATGTGGAAACAATCTTCGCCTTGCGGGCTTTGCAGCCACTGATTTGGCAGTGGCTGATGGGAGACAGTAATGTTTTCGGAGACTTGCCGAGTTGCAAGGTTACTCCGGTGGAGCACATCGGCGAGGAGCGGACAGCGGGGTCTCCGTGAAACCTATTCTGGTAGAGCGTTATGTCGGGTTCAACTGAAAGCAGATGAGGTGAAGTAAGATATTCACTCTCAACTGCACTCCGAATGTCCTTTACTACAGCATAGCAGACAAACCTCGGGTGTCAACATCCGTGGCCAAGAGGAGAATTCAGATCGCAGTTTAAGGTGCCCAAGTCGTAGTTACGTGTAGAAGGGTAGTGCAAACGCCAAGAGCTGAGAAACTTTTACAAGCAGCTGCTTGAAAGGAAAGCTTAGCATCCAAACGAGCTTGTTTGCGCCGGGGATGTAACCGGGCTCAAGTTGCACGCAATTTCGGGCTTTGCCGCCACTGATTGCTTGGCGGGCGCCGTCCCGCCCGTGCCTGGCCTTGTGCCTGCCTCAGGAAGGACCCTGAGCATGGTCCACTTGCTGGCCAATAGGTCAGCGTGTGGTGGTCGTGTCGAGGGAGCGGAGTGCCAAGGAAGCCCCCCACTAGGCCGCTGCTCCACCTGCCGGGCGTGCCTAAGCAGCGGCTGGACTGGACAAGGCTGGCATTCTAGGAAAACGGCATCCAGCTCCCTGCTCGCTCTGGCCCACGAGCTCTCCTGCCGGAATGAAAGTTGCTGGGTGCTCGATGGCAGGCTCTGAGTGCTGGCGTAACCCCTGGATCCCCGAATGCTTTTGGTGGATGCGACGGGGCATCAGCATTGTTCCACCCGTAAGAGGGTGCAGGGGGCCAGGGGTTGCAACTGCGAAGCCGACAGTCCAACAGCACTGCCGACACGCGGCGCCATGTGAGATGCGCCTAGTCGCACAAAAAGCGGGCGTAATGCTTGAAACGCTAAGAGGCGAGGGTGCGTCGGCTGTCCCTCCCTCAGGTAGCTGAAAGCGGACCTTTGTGCGGTCAAGTGGCTTTTGGCACCCTCCGATCGGCATGACCGCGTCCACCACTGCGCAAGCCACCTCCATCAAAATGGTTAAGACTTGAGCTCCGCCTACTTGCGAAGGGCCACGGGTACTCGACTTCCTCGGCGTCGCTTGAAGCTCCTGGCCAGTCACTGCTGCACTTCGAGGGTTGGATTAGGGCCGATTAGGGTTGCTGAGAATCATTTTCTTGGCCGCAAGAGACCGGTGTCGAGCCACCAACCCAGGGTGTCTCTCACCAGTTCGTTGTCCGTTTGGGTGAAGAAAGATCTTTGCAAAAGGCAGCCGTTGATTACGCCTTCCTAGCCCTGCTCCTGCACCTGCACGCAGGCTCGGCAAGAGAAAAGGCGGCACCACCAGTCGGACACCGTCTCCTTCCTTGGCAGTCTACGGAGATCCGTTCTCTGGCACTGGTGAAATTGGCGAGGAAGGTGAGGATCTCGTCTGTCAAGGTCGTGTTGACCACCACCGGTCCTCGACAAGGGCCGTCATCGCGCACAAGCTTCCACGCCTTGTGCGATCGTACATCCTTCGCTTGAATCCACCTTGGCCCAAGCCTCGGTGGGCTGGGCGGGCTCGTGCCAGTGCTTCGTCATCGACTGCAAGTGCTCGTGACTTGGGCCCCTGAACATGGGCTGGTTCTAGCGTGTCCGGCACGCGCTCGGCGTGCTGCAGGAGGGCTAGATGCCTGTCCTGCAAGGTACTCCGACGCGGCATGGTCCCCACACTGGGTCTCCATCCCAACACTGAAGGAGGCAGCTGTCCGGCTTCCTTCGTCTTTTCCTCCTCGTCGGAGGTGCGGACGAAATGGTCGGTGGCTTGCACCGACCTCACCTTTTCTTGATGGGGAGAAGGGGTGGGACGCTTCTTCTCCTTCGTGCTCCCTTTCTTTCGAACAGGAAGGACGAGTCACTTGGGGCCTGCATACAAGCCCGCGGGCGCATGCTCGCTCCAAGGGCGCTCCTGCAAAAAGCGCGAAGGTCTTCGCGAAACAGGCACGCATCAACGGAGTATTTCAAAACACGTTCCATTTCCGCTCAGCCCGCTAAGGGTCAATTGCGCTAAAGTGTTTGCGCCCAAGAATAGAGCCAACCGCTCCACTTTGGAATGAACTTCTGACTTCGAGGAGCGCTCACCACTGTAGGGTTTCAATTTAGTCACAATTACTATCGAGCGGTTGTGAGTGGGTCGTCATATTTCACGGAGTGTGTGGAATCCAACTGTGAGACTCCTTCGCAACTGTGCAGACATTCGGAAACTAAAGTTCAGGGTTTTAGCGACGGAGGGCTCTGGACTGCATGACGAGCTTGTCTTGATAAACACACCAGAATACCTTCGTCCGCCCATAGCCACCGTTGCTTGAACAGGCCGGGCAGGAAGTGGACCTCCCGTCTCCGGGCCCTGTCACGTCGAAGCTCAAGGACGGATTGGTGCCGGAAAGGTGTAGGGACCGGTGAGACATTCAGAAGAAAAAATAGTTTGTTTTTGATTTGTGTGCAGGTTCCTGCTTGTGAGCTCTCTAGCAAGACCCTGTTCGAAATCTTGCCGCAAATCCTGTTGTTGTGATTCGAGTTCGAGAGAAGTGATGGCTCCACCTGGCTGGCTCAAGCTCCTGCCGGTCTTTGGCAGCACGGATTGGAGGCTTGGGCACGTGCAGCAACTCCGGACCGTCGGCCGGAGGCAGCAAATGCAAGCACTAGCGGTCGTAGCTTAGCTAGCCTCTCCGGAGAGAGAAAGAGAAAGAAGGAAGGGTCCGGTGGGAGGGAGAAAGCGAGGGACAACATCAAATGCATAAAGACACATGTTATGACTCTGTATGTGCCGCAGAATTGCGTGCATACATGAAGACATCCCAATGTCCGGAGGTATCTTTGAACATGTAGATCCTGCAATATAGGTGTTCCCGCCAGAGCTCAGCAATGGAAGTGGCCTCGCGAGACGCGCCCAGCTTTCGCGACAGGCTGCTGCACCTCGGCTCAGGGCACTTCTTTGATGGTTCAGGCCCCTTTATTATTATTATTATAACTATTATTGTTGTTCTTATTATTTCGAGAAAGGTTACAACTACAGGATAGCAACCTAGTTGCTTGAGATCCGAAACTAGCTTCTTGAGTTCCCCCTTTGCGATCAACCCATGCCCTGTGGTCACAAGGAGACCTCCCATTTACTGGCTCTTCCATTCCTGGCGCCTCTTCGGCCGGTGCCTTAGAGGCTGTTTGCACGCCGCACACCTGCACGTACGTACGTATGCGCGCATGCATGCATGTATATAGGCCTATATGCGTATATACACATATATGTTGACATCTACGTGTGTGTTAGAACATATGTAGACCCTGTCCGTCTGTGTGGATCTTTATATGCATGCATGGGTGTATATGTTGTTGTATGAGTGCGTATGTTCTTACATCCGTTTTTGTTGGCTTGTCATGGCAGGGAGGCTCAGCCAGTCCGGCTGACGCCGACAGCGTTGTATTGCTTTCATGACAACACCAGTCACGTTCCCAGAATGACTCAGTTCAGTGCGCAAGATGTCAAGCCGGAGCCAGTCTGAGGTTATGGTGTTCTCATCCCGCCCCTCCTGGTTTATCAACCTCTTAAGACTCTGGCCGGCATTGTCGCTTACGCAGCCGTCCATCGCCAACGCTGGTGGCAGCAAAGTGTGCACAGGCCAGACGTGCTGAGACTACAGAGCCACTGCGGTTGTTTTGAATGGCATGGACGCTGTCCTCACATCCGTGCATTATCAGCCGAAGCCCATGCCCACTTCATTTTCTTAAGCGATTTTTCGAGATTTGGGGGTTCCATTTCGATAATCGAGGAAAAGGCGATGAGGCTCGAGTGGCTGTTGTGGTCTAGGAAACGCCATCGCCCCGTAACGCTGACTAACCAGAAGAAGGGTGCAGCTGCATGGCTTCATGGAGTATGAATTCTGCGTTCCGTGCACTAGCCAAACAAAACGGACTGCGTATATGCTCAGGAAGCAAGCGAGGTTAGCATAAAGAAACGAGCAATAGCAGAGACAACGCCAGGTTCAGCATAGGAAGGAAAACCCCAGCATCAACAACACCAGGTTAAAAGACGACCCCCAGTGGTTCCAGCATATGCAACAGCGGGGCGTAGTATGAGCAACAACACGCTGCCTGCTTCAAAGTTGTCGGACAATTGAATCTGCGTTGTATCTTAGAACCGCTCAATGCGAGCAGACCACATTAGGCCTCGCAGGTTTTTCGGATACGGAGCATCTCGTCGACATCGCTTCGTCAACGAGCATACAGACGTGTCTCCTGCCTACTTTTGGATTTCAAGATTTCACCGGGTTGACAAGCCGTGAATGTCTTGGGGGACTGCCAGTTTCGACTGCGACAGGGCTCAGAATGCGCGGGAAATCTGACGGTGCAGTCTTGCGATGTAGAGCTCATGCAGGCTTCCAAGAAATCCGACGCAGCTGTAAGAAAAGCAACTCCTGTCCAAGTGAGTGTTTTGTCTTGCGGTGCGCTGTTAACAAAACCTTGCGAAGGTCAAGCAGTCAAACTCCATCGCCCAACCAACGGCCCAAAGGATCAAAGACGACAAGCGATACCTGTGGTCACTGCACCCACACGGCCTCCTTGCAGATGGCTGGCACTCATTGATCGTTGCCTCGGCTGCAGGTTGAGCTTTAGGAAACGCTAGACCCGTGCTGAGATCTGAACAAATCCGCTTCTTGGAGCCTCCAGCATCTGGCGCAGGGCTTCCGAACGTGAGGCCCGGAACTTGGACTCCTTCGCGGACTCCGGGAAGGGCCCGCCTGCTGTGGGGCGAAAGATCGCCCTCTGCTACCTGTTTTGTCAGTGGGGGTGACGTGCAAGCAGCGAGCGTAACGACGACAGATTTGGGATCAGCTGAGGCTTTGCACCCGTTATCCAGCATGTGCCAGTGCACCAGGACCGGGAAGGGCGGGCAGGGCGGGTACGGTTCACCTAGATACGAAGGCCGGAATGACTGAGCAGGGGCAGCCTTCTTGGTTTGAGCATCTGAGCCGAGGAGATGTACCGGGACCTGTGCACTTCGGCAAGCAGGAAAGACATCGTCAAGACCCTCTGCTGCGATGAGAGCTTTTTGTGGTGGTCATTGCCGTAAGGACCTCTGCAACGCAGTCCTGAGGTGGTGGAAGACTGCAGACACTGATCCGGCGCTCATTCCCGGCGGTTTCTCCGAGGAGGGGCACCATCGTGCTGCAGCGTGGGGAAGGCATCGTCTTGTGTGGGAGGCAGTCTTCGTCAACTCCGCAGAGCGCAAGTACGAGTACTCGTATCTCAAGAACAGAGTCTGAGCTTGCAGTACTTGTGAGATCTTCGGTGTCACAGCAAATGCTATGAGGAAAGGGCTTTGTGAGGATCGCTGTGGAGGAGGGTAAGGACATCGTCCCCTGCTACACGTTCCGCCAGAGCTGGATGTACCGGACACCTCGGACATTGCGCGCCGCGCGGGCGCGACTGTCCCAGCACATCTTTGTAGGTATTATCCCATTCTTTGGGTGGATGGGCACTTCCATGCCTCTCACGGACAAGACAACCTCGGTGGTCTTCCCGCCTTTCCCGGCCTCCGAGTACAAGCCAGACCAGGTGGATGCCGCACACGCCGGGTATCTCGAGCACCTGAAGAAGTATTTTGACTTGTACAAGAGCCGCTTCGGCATGAAGAATGTGGAGCTCGAGTCTCGGCGAAGACTTCTGCCTTGTGCAGGTACAGGCAGTGGTCCAGCGGTCCTGGAGTTAACGTGTACTTCTGTGTGCAAATGCCTGCAGTGTAGTGAGTGTAGTGTCCACCTCTTCCCAAAGTTGAAGTTGCTTTTGCTACAGCTCAGGTTTTCATCGGGAACGATTTCAAGGACGATGACTGGGCGGCGAGGGCTCTGCATCGAATCGGTCTGCCTCTCGTCGGAGCCAAAACCCACAAGCATGCGAGGCAGAACTCATGGCTTCTTGAAACGAAGGCTCTCGAGCCACGTGGTGGCCACCGAGCCGCCGCCACTGCCGCCACTGCCGCCTCCCCGATCCCGGCTCTGAAGCCTTGGACCATGTCAAGGCGGGGAGTGAACACCGATAGGCCCTTTCTTGGCCACGTCGTGGAGCTGCAACTGGCAAGTCAGCTGCGGCCAGTCTCGTAGACCCGTGGGCCGAAGCAAGAGACCTTCGATGTTGGGTTCCTTGGCGGTGCCCGGTGCCCGGTGCCCATGCTCCGGGTCCGAAACGCAAGAGATTTCATTTGAGTTCTGCAGGCCATAGGGCTCGAGCGAGTCTTCTACAATGGTTTTTTCGTACTTGGTTGTGGCTTGAAGCAGGCCTGAAAGAAGACTTCGCTTAGGCTGCGGTTGCAGTATCATGGCTGTTTACAAGTGATGCCTGGCATGCAGAACTACCCTAGCAACCTCGGTGTCGTATGGCCAAAGAGCGTACGCACACGCAGCAAAGCTAGCAGGAGGAAGGACCAGAAAAGCTCTGTAATGCACCAAAGAACAACTCCATGCTACAAGCAAGCCTCTATCTTGGGTGAGATTCCCAACTTGAGGGATTGGTAGATATCTGGTCACGAAATGACGGGATGTATCACAGGGCAAAATCAGAATAGCTGATTGCTCCGCGCCAGTGGCCCCGCAGGTTTTAAAAGGCATGAGACCTCCGCGGCCCGCGGCCCCCGCACGCCCTCAGAGCCGCTGTCTTTGTCAGGAGACCTACCTGGACATCCAGCAGGAGCCGGTCTCCTGGGTAGAACCTGAGCCTCGGGGAGGAGATGGTTCGAAGGTTCCCTAAGCCTCCGTCCGACCGAGGCTTCGTCCGGATTCTGAGGGATGGCTGGTAGATGCGTTCTCCTGAGTGGCATTTGGTGGCACATTGTCTTGAATGGGGTGTAGGCTCAGTGACGACTCACAGTCTGCACTCCCGAGCAACGACTCGCTTTCACAAAGTGCCTCTTCGGCCAGTTTGAGATGTACAGTGTACAGGCGAACAGACGAACAAGCGAGGTAGGAGTGATGCAACAGCAGCCCTAATAAAGAAAACAGGCCTTGCCAGGAGAAGTAAGTAGAGCAACAGCAGCCTTGCCTGTAGATGGGGTAGAGACTACCAGCAGCAGAAGTCGATGCAGCAGCAGCAGCAGTAGGAACAGCAGTGGCAGGAACAGCAGTGGCAGGAACAACAGTGGCCGCAGCAGCAGTAGCAGTAGCAGTAGCAGTAGCAGTAGCAGCAGTAGCAGTAGCAGCAGTAGCAGTAGCAGTAGCAGTGGCAGTGGCAGTGGCAGTGTCAGTGGCAGTGGCAGTGGCAGTGGCAGTGGCAGTGGCAGTGGCAGTGGCAGTGGCAGTAGCAGTAGCAGTAGCGGTGCAGCGTAGCGGTAGCGGTAGGTAGCAGTAGCAGTAGCAGTAGCAGTAGCAGTAGCAGTAGCAGTAGCAGTAGCAGTAGCAGTAGGAGTAGGAGTAGGAGTAGGAGGAGGAGTAGTAGTAGTAGTAGTAGTAGTAGTAGTAGTAGTAGTAGTAATAGTAGTAAGTATGTAAGTAAGTAACGGTGGCAGTGGCAGTAGTTCCCACTACCGAACGCAAGCATGTGGGGCTTCGTAGTCTTTTTCGCATAGAAGGATTAGGTTTTTGTCTTTTTCTTATAAAAACGACCGAGCCCTGCAGCGTCAGGCCAGCGAGGCCGTGCAAAAGAAGGTTGCATGTCCGTCCATGGGAGGGCCTCCAGCACGCATAAGTGTGACAACCACCCATACATACATATATATATATATATGTATATACATATATATATATATATATATATATGTATACATGCCACGCATTCTGGCACTTGTGCACATGTATGCAGGTGCCGTCACCCTGTTCGGTACTACTGCCGTCTACTCCTGCCACACTTGGTGCAATCAGCAACGACAAAGACAAGCACGAATGATAAGAACAGAGCACTACGAATGACATCAAGACAAGGGCGACAACAGCGCGAACAACAACAACTGCAGGCGAAATACTGTAGACTGTAGAAGCTGCTTCTAGGAAAGTGTTCATCGCATGAGCTGTTGACCCTATAGTAGTTGATGTGCTCTTGCCATCTAAATTGTACACTGTTGCGCCACACGCGGAACATGATGCACCGGTCACTACCCAGCCGGAGCAGAAGTCAATAAGATACCCTACTTTCAATACAACCTTTGCTATTCGCGATTCTAGAGTCTACAGTAGTAAGTAGACTTTACTATAACACTACAGTTTTTCTCCAGCTGACAGTATACTACATACTCTCTCTCTTTCTGTTTATATACATATGTATATACATGTACATATATATATATATGACAAAGTACCGACTGGGGGGGGGGGGGTGTGGCGGCTTGGTGCAGCCGGGCAGACGGCGCGACCGCATCCCCCCTCCCTCCGAGTAAGCAAAACTTGTGTACTAAAATTTAGTACTGGTTCTATTACTATTTATTTGTATTGCTATCTATTCTTACACTTTCTATTACTATTGCTCTACTATTGCTATTTCTGTTTCTATCGCTTCACGTAGTCACGCTTTCACTCATTCAGATAGTCACGAACTCACTCTTTCAATTACTGACTGACTCATTCAATCGCATTCACTCATTCATGCATTCTCTCATCCATCCATGCATGCGTGCGTGCATGCATTTCTTCACTCATTGAATCAATCAGTCGGTCAGCCTGTCAGTCAGTAGGTCAGGCAGTCAGTGAGCAGTTGGGCTTAACTGAAGCAGTGAGTGGTTGGTTGATTGATGGATGGATTGATTGATTGTTTGACTGCTTGACTGACTGCCTGCCTGCCTGCCTGCGGGCGTGGGTGCTTGCTTGCTTGCTTGCTTGACTGACCGACAGACCGACGGACCGACGGAGTGATTGACTGAGTGAGTGAGTGATTGATTGACTGACTGACATACATTCGTAGATGCCGGGGACAGGTTGCTTCGGTGCACATGCGCTCGGCACCCGTGTGGCTGCGGCCCGTCGACGCACACACTGCTAGGCAGCTCAGCGGCTCATGCAAGGGACACCATCGATGAAGGCCTGTCTCATCGGAGAGCCGAAACCCTGAATGCTAAAGTAACCCAAACCTAAGGATGGAAACCAGCTTACGGTAGCTGCAGCTACAGGGCTTTGCATTTTCAAAAAGCGTTGTGTGTCTGTTTGCTCCCCACGACGTGCACCGAAATATGGGCTGCTTGCTCCCCATGGAATGCTGGCGGCGACCGGGACTGGTTGGAAACATGTGCAGCTCACGAGGCTGACGTCTAACAGGTGCGAGGACTCATTCATTCTCGGCAGTTTTAGCAACTCGTTGCGAGTTAGCGGATCATCACGTGCTCGAATACATGTGTTTGATCCGTGCGGCAAAGATGCTTGGTTAAGGAATTCCTGTCGGCCGAGAAGGAGGGGAGACTGCAGGAAGCGGTGTCGAGGGCCCTGCAGCTCAAGGCACAGCTCGGGCCGGGCCGGGCCGGGTTTCACCCAAGGCAACTTCTTTTTCACGCGTTGGTGGCGGTTCGTCTTGAGACAGAGAGGCTGGTACCAGGGTACACCCATGTACACCCTAAACCCTTCAAAGAAGTTTGCAAGGCCGTCAGCTCGTTTGAGACCGCTGCGTGGCTGCGGCAGTTCAGGCACTCAGGCCAGGAGGGGCGCGGAATCGATTTCAGAAGGCTTCGTTGGGAGCCTGCGGCTTGATGTGTTGAGTGCGGATAACCTGCTGGAACGCCAGTCGAACCGTAGCCAGCCATAGCCCCATCAAGAACCAAGTCACTTCACGAAGTGACTGCTTGAACCGTGACGAGTCCATATGGACTCCTCTCATCCGCAGGGCGCTGGGACCTGGCTTTGGCCGTCCTCGAGGCTTTGCGCCGCTGCAGTGTCTGTGGCCGCTTTCAGCAACCAAGCATGCACAGAGAGCAGAGGCGACGGTGCACTTGCAAACGGATCAACCACTCGCGCCCCTGCGCTAGCGATGGGCAGGGGCGGAACTGCAAGTCTGATAGCTTAGGTGCAGGAGATGTGTAATTGGAAAACCAAGGTATGCGGCTGCCCTGTCAGTCTGTTCGAAGGCCATAATCACAGGATTCGATGACATGGCTTTGGATGGGTGCTTCAAACAACAGAGCATGCAGGTTAGGACAGCCGTGTGCCGCCTGGAAATGTCTGCATAGTGCAAGCAGGGACTTCGTTCTTCGTGCACGGGATCAGGCTGCAGGTCTTGCTTGCTGTGGCATTGGCTCAGGATAGGATGCATGTGTTGAAGAATCGAAGAATGTAGCGGCTAGATGTTTTTGCAGCGTAGCGATGGGCGCGGTGGCCAGCACTCAGACAGACTATGTGGTTCAGATACATCCTCAGATCGGGGTGGAGGCCGGGAGTTGGACGCTGACTAACCAGCTCGGGAGCGTTCCTTCTTGCGTCATTGTGCGGGCTTCTTACGAGAAGTCACGAAAAGCAGTCCACCTTTGTCCGGCATGGCTGGGAGCGGTCGGGAAGCCGGGGAGTACAGGGGACTGAGCGGGGCTGAATCTCCAACCATGGCTCACGTACTGGGGCGTCACGAAACAATGTACCGTCAATGTGATTGGGAGCTCATTCTTGCTGCCAGCGCAGAGCACTAGGAATAGTTAGCAAAGTGTCTTATGCAGAAGAGTACGTGCCAGCAGCATCAGTAGCTGTGTTCAATCATCACCAACGTCCTGGTCGCTGTCCTTCACAACGTCGATTGTCGTCGTCGAACTTGGCCAAAGCCTATCCTGCCGAAGGCGCAGCCTCATGTGCTTATGGTGTCTGAGGACTCGAGCATCCAGGACTCTGACGTTCTCTGCTTTCCCTGAGCCTCCTGGAACCCTAAAACCCAAACCCCAAATTGCATTCTTGGGCGTTGCCTACGGCTTGCGTTTTATCTTGTCGAAGCCAGGAGGTAGAGCTCTCGAAGACTGCGTCGATCATGAGCCCCAAGAGCCCACGTTTATTACAGCAGTCGGAGATGTCGAACCAGAGCAGCCGGCCAGTGTCGGAAGGGATGAAGAGCCCACGTTTGCTACAGCTGTCCGAGACTTCGTCGAAGCAGAGCAGCGTGCCGCCGGGGGAGATCAGGAGCCAGACTTCGTCGAAGCAGAGCAGCATGCAACTGGCAGAGCCGGCCGCTAGCCCACGTTTGGTGGATCCCTCCCTGAGCACTGGGTCTGGTTCTTCCCTACGAGATGTCATGGGGCATGCTCTTTCGGAATATGCATCCTTGACCAAGAGTGAGAGGCACAACAGTCGCAGATATTCCGAAGTGGACATGGCCATGGTGCGAGGCATCTCCTTGCGAAGCTCACTTCGGGGGCTTGGCCGCTTGTGGCGATACAATCCCACTAGCTGGAAGCCTCAGGAACGGGCGGCTCTCTACGAACTCTCTTCTCCGGCGAGGTCTTTCAAGGTCTTCGTTTCGCACACCTGGCAGACTCCTGGCAGATGGAAGATTCTTGGGCTCAGCCTACAATGTGGCTGGAGGAGCGCTCTCGGCTTCTGGTTCATGGCCGTGTTCGTGTCGTTCGTTTTGTGCGCCGTGGACATCCTCCCCCTGCCCTTCAGCTATGAGCCTACGATGACTATCTTCCCTGAAACCTACGCGATGGGTTTCTGGGTCGTGCCGAGTGGTATGGTTGCAACGCTCCTGGGTTTAGTATCAGCTCCTTACTGGCCTGAGAGATGCAGCGGCTCAGACACGAGCTTCATCGATGTGGCAAGCATCCACCAGGCGACCGATGGCACAAGAAACAGCATCGTTTAGTTTTGCATGGAGTTTACTCCTCATGCTCCTTCTCCCCATCCCCTCCTCACTTCCCTGCAGAGGTGGATCGGAGGCTCATGGAGAAGGGAATCTATGGAATTGCGGGTTTCCTGAGGATCTCCCAAGAGCTTCGAATTCTTTTTTCCGCGCCATACTTTTCCAGGCACGGCTAAGTCCAAAGGAGAGGTTGCAAAGATAGCCCGGCATCAAAGATGGAGGATTCTGAGGGAACTTGATACCGACGAGGGGGCCGTTGAAGAATTCAGGGCATGTGGGGTCTCGTGTACACGGCCATCTGTTTCTCAGGCTCTGGTGCGTCTTTGAAGTGGCGGCCTACAAGAAGCTCAATCCTCAAGGCAGGATCAAGTTCAGGCCGCTCTTTATGGAAGCAGTCGTCGTTGGGCTGATGCTGTCGGCATACTGCTTCTGCTTCATCTTCATGGCATGGCGGATCCTGGATGCAGACGGGCTGGAGGCGGATGCCTGGGTGTTCGCAGCTTTTGCTTCTTGGTTTGTCCCACTGGGTATCGCCACCTACGGGCTCAGAAGCATCTTCCGTGAGAAGTATCGTCTCCTCTCGGAGCTCGAGGCACGTCTTGAGCATCCTGACTAGTAAATAGTTAAATGAGCATATGGCGTATGCGTCAGCGAAGCCAAGCCAAGCTGTAGAGGACATAAGCTCTGCCTGAGCCCGTCAAGTCCTCTCTTTATCCTCCGAGCTGCAGGAGTTTGATCTGGACTATGTGCACTGTTCCAAGCAATTTGACCGAGCCGGGGCTGTTTACGAACCCTAAACCCTAAACCGGTTTGGGGGCCCTGGGCATCGGTTCACGAACTCAGGTTCTTCGGGGAGCTAAGCCATCTCCTGCTCAGGAGACTTTATCCATGCGGCCATCGTGAAGTGGTATGGAAGCACGGAAAATTTCACTACCTACGTCAGGTGTGGCCTGAAGGATGAACTGGCGACCAGCTTGTTTGCCGCCCGAATGCCGCACGAGTATTTGCTGCTGATTCTGACACCGTTTCTCAGCCTTTGTTTGGAAATACTCTTGGCAATGTGGAAGAGCGGCGTTCCTCCTGAGCAGCTCGCGGCTTTCTCCCTTGCCGCTCTTCTAGGCCTGGACATTTTCTGGATTGGGTCAAGCATGGTGCTGCTAGTCTGTTTGTGCGACTACTTCGCAGTACGCCGTTTTGGCTGCTGTGACCACTTGCAGACATTTGCAATTATCTTGGCAGTGGCCAGTTTGATAGGCGGAGGAACCCAGCTCTGCGTGTATGCGAGTCAGAGTCTGCTTGGAGCTTTGATCTACCTCGGAGCTACATTGCTGATGGCTGTGTCTGTCTGGTGGCTGGAGGGGAAGGCTTGTAGCTGCCCTGTGGGCCGCGCGAGATGATCCCTGCTGATGGCTGCTGTCACGGATCCGACGCATCTGACAATGCCACCCCTGCATAGTTAGCCTTGATCCAGCATATCCCCCATGTATCCCAGGTATTTCCCCGGATCGTTCGGATCATCATTTGTCAAAGTCTGTAGCAGACTTGAGAGTGCTTTATGTAGCAAGCCAGGTGTACATGTCTTCAAAGAAGACATAAAGCGATCGAAGTCGCTTCGTGCGTTCTGGTTTGATCTCGATTTCTTTCATTTCCCCGAGCTTTGGGAGCTCTGTGGACATCGCGCTTCCCCGGGCAGTTAGGATCCGGTTCTGGGGGCGCAGTTTAAGGGTCTCCTGGAATTATCTCTTGAGTGCGGTGCCAGATGCTGGGAACGGTATCCCTTGTTCGCTTGCAGCTCTCGGCCTCCCGTGTGTTTCACCCGAGAAATTTCAGCACCAGTGCGGTGTGCCATCTTTGGCACTCATTCCCGTTTCTCTCAGGTCAGGCCCCTCAAGCGGATCTTGATTTTCAGGCCTGCGACGGAGATGGCAGAAGGCGTTGCGTAGAAAAAAACAGTCTTCGAAGCGTTTCCCAAAGTAGTCCGTCGTAGGAAACGCGAGAATGCATGTCAGCGACCAATCTCGACGATTTTATGTAGTGATGCTGAGAGTGGTAGTGAGAAGAGTAGAAACAGCACATGTAGTTTGAGTAGTAGTGAGTAGCAGGAGTGGTAGCAGTCGTTGCAGTAGCAGTAGTAGCAGTAGTAGCAGTAGTAGCAGTAGTAGCAGTAGTAGCAGTAGTAGCAGTAGTAGCAGTGGTAGGAGTAGTAGCAGTATTAGCAGCAGCAGCAGTAGCAGTAGCAGTAGCAGTAGCAGTAGCAGCAGCAGCAGCAGCAGCAGCAGCAGTAGCAGTAGCAGTAGCAGTAGCAGTAGCAGTAGCAGTAGCAGTAGCAGTAGCAGTAGCAGTAGCAGTAGCAGTAGCAGTTGCAGTTGCAGTAGGAGTGGGAGTGGGAGTGGGAGTAGGAGTAGGAGTAGGAGTAGGAGTAGGAGTAGGAGTAGGAGTAGTAGGAGGAGGAGGAGTAGTAGTAGTAGTAGTAGCAGTAGTAGTAGTAGTAGTAGTCGTAGTCGTAGTCGTAGTCGTAGTGGTAGTGGTAGTGGTAGTGGTAGTGGTAGTGCTAGTAGTAGTAGTAGTAGTAGTAGTAGTAGTAGTAGTAGTAGTAGTAGTAGTAGTAGTAGTAGCAGTAGCAGTATAAAGCACCAGCACAACTAAGAATCGTCGCCGCCGTCGTTGTAGTCGTCTTTGGTTTTTTGTAGTCGGAGAGGTTGCGGTAATGGCAGTGGCAGTGGTCGGCTACTTTCAGTGAGTGTAACATTCATCGGCAGTACTCATACGAACCATGAACTGGGTAATCGAAGGAGTGATAGTGATATCTTAGCGACAGCACTTAGCACTCATAAAAGTTATGTTGATGAACGGACTCTTGGCTCTCGGGATGCGCATGTCAGCCAGGCAGCCGCTTGGGAGGCTGCCCTTCATCTCCTCAAGGCTCTTCGCAGCATTGACTGGCCACACGAAGGGATGCCACAGGTGGTTTCCACCAATGAGCCGTCACTTGTATGCTGAGCTGTAACGCCGTGGTCACAGCCTACACAACACGAAAATGGTGTAGTCTTTCTCCTGAGCCTTCCACGGAATCCAGTTTCTGACTGTTCGAGTTGTCCACACTGAGAGCCAGACCGGAAGTCTGACAAGGGCATCGTCAGACTCATGTCATAAGAAAGGAAGGAGGGAAAGCCTTCGAATAGTTCTTCTACCACGGGAGGTGTCACCACTCTACTGCTACTGCTACTCCTGCTCCTGCTCTGCTGCTGCTACCGCCGCTGCTACTGCTGCTGCTGCTGCTGCCACAACAACAACTACTACTCTTGCTCATACTCACTTACTCATACTCCTACTACTACTAGTACGACGACGACAACTACTACTACAATGACCACTACAACTACCAGTACCGCTATCGCTACCGCTACCACTGCCACTGCCCCTGCCGCTGCCACTGCCACCGCCGCTGCCACTGATACGACCACGACCATGACCACCACCATCACCACCATCACCACCATCACCACCATCACCACCACCGCCACCACCACCACCACCACCACCACCATCACCACCATCACCACCACCACCACCACTTGTCCTCGTACTAGTACGTGTACTAGTACTAGTATGGGTACGAGCACGAGTACTCGTACTCGTACCTACTACTACTACTACGACGACGACTACTACTACTGCTACTGCTACTACTACTACTACTACTACTACTACTACTACTACTACTACTACTACTACTACTACTGCTTCCACTGCCACCCCCACTTCTGGTGAGTACAGCGGAGCCGCGGCCTGCACAGGAACTCAAGGAGACGAAGGCGGAGATGGAGGTCTCGGAGTTCACGGCCGTGGTGTTGGAGCCCTGGCATGGTGAGATCGGGTGAATCGGAAGCAATGACAGCAGCGATGTCCGTGCTCACCTGCTCCCACTCCCACTCCTTCTCCTGCGCCTGCGCCTGCACCTACGCCTACGCCTACTACGAGTACGACCTACTACTACTACTACTACTACTACTACTACTACTACTACTACTACTCCTACTCCTACTCCTACTCCTACTCCTACTCCTACTACTACTACTACTACTACTACTACTACTACTACTACTACTACTACTACGACTACGACTACGACTACTACTACTACTGCTACTGCTACTGCTACTGCTACTGCTACTGCTACTGCTACTGCTACTGCTACTGCTACTGTTATTGCTACTGCTACTGCTACTGCTACTACTACTACTACTCCTCCTACTCCCACTCCAACTGCCACTGCCACTGCCCCTGCCACTGCTGCTGCTGCTGCCACTGCCACTGCTGATGCTGCTGCTGCTGGTAGTAGTACGACGGCGGCGACTACTGCTTCTACCACTGCTGCTGGGGCGACTGCAGCTTTTGCTGCCACCTAGTCCCACGTTTTTGGAAGTGGCAATGCCATGTTAAGACCGTCTCTACGTCGCATACTTTCAGACACCACAGCAGAATCAAGCTCCCGTGCGGATCTGAGGCATGTGAGCGCAACTCGCGCTGGACCCAGGGCTTGCAGCAGTTCGACGAGATGGCTTCTTGACTTCGTGGAATGTTGTGTCTACATTCGGTACAAGACAAACGTGTCAGATTCTCTTCTGGCGACATGATTGTAATTTGCATGTCTCTCCTCTTGGGGGGTTTGGGTGAGATCCCAGAGTCGCTTGGCCTCTGCAGGATACTGCGGGTTGGGGACCCCGCACCCCCCAACCTGGCAGGCTGCGCAGCTGCGCCCCGACCTTCGGGCCCATACCGCTGCGTTGCAATGCGGTGCGAGCTGGCCGATGGTGCTGGCTGCCTTGGAAACGCTGGCGGCGCGGCAAATGGTGGCTTGAAGTAACTTGAGGTCAGAGCTTCAAAAAGCAAAGAATGCCATCTTGCAGGAACCCGACAGCCACTGCAACGTGGTGCTGCTTGGCACCCTGGAGCAAAGCGAGTGGCAATTGGCCTTTGCCACGCTGGAGGCCTTATTGAAGATGCCAATGAGTTCAGGGCTCAGCGTTCATCGCCTTGTTGGGAGAATCCATGGCTCCAGCCTCGTGCGACCCGCTAGAAGGGACAAGCACGAAAGGCCTCAGACGTGTTCAGGCAACGTGAAGCCTTCTTGCTGTCAGGCCAAGGGAGTATAGAAGGGATTGGTTTGGCAGGGGTTTCGATGTGCTGGCACGCCCCTCGTCGCCCCCGGCGCTTCAGGACTTTTTTTGGCTTGCAGAGTGAGCAGGTTGTGGATCCGGGCAGGAGAGACGGTGTCAACATGTCCATTTCCTCTTCCCAAACCAGCCCTGCACCCAGTAGGTTCTGCCTGCTGGTGGCGCTCGGCAGATTGCCTCGATCGCACGAATTGGCGCTGCCCGCTGGATGAGGCCTTGCGCGAAGACAGCCCTGTGTTTTGCCGACAGATGTCGCAGGTCAGCGTGAGATTTTGTGGCTCGGTTCTCGCTAGGTTTATGGTCTCGACAAGGAGGTCTCATTTAGACAACAGCAATGGTTTTTGTAGCGGTTTTGCTTGTGTAGATTTGCCTGCAACTCGGCAAGGACGCGGCGCTCAGTATGGGCTCGTGATACTTGTATATTGTCTGCACTGAAATGTTTTTGGGTCTTGCTGCACATGGATCTGCCGCAGCCCTTGTGGAGATCACAGGGCGGTGATGAATAGAAAGAAGCATTCTCGTACATAACATGTTACAGTTTTGGGTTCTGCATCGTCGCTGGCTTCACGACATTCAACGGAGGGAGGGCTGCATAGAAAATGCTGCACCCTGCGCAAAGGCTTTGGATTACTTTCAATGCATCCGTACAATCCGGCCTGGAGGTCATTAGAGCTGATGCGCGAGAACACGGATGCCTCGAACATCTACGTGTATAACGTGTGGATCTCGGATGGCATCTCGCTCTTTTGCTGCGTGTTTTTGGCTTCAGGGTTAGGAACGGAAAGCCATTCGACTCTGTTGCGAGCTGTCTCCGAGGGGATGCTTGGTTTTTTTGGGTGACTCTCTATGTTCTCGTCCTGACAACATGTGTCGCTTGTGGGCCCTATGCCCGTCCCGGCCGCCAAACAGTGTTTAGCAAGGGTTTGTTTCACACATGTTTGCACGATGTCGGAGCGCCCCATGACTTGCCCTGCTGCACAGGCTCCTTAAGCCAAGAAGCCATCCAACATTTCCGCAGCCCGACTAGAGTGCTCGAGGCCCTGGCTTCTGCGGCTCCTTGGCAGCGGGCCTCGGCATTGCTTGGCGCAGCGGCGGTGGGGGCTGGGGCTGCCTGTGTCATGGGAGTTTGCAATTTCTAGTGTCCTCCGCCTCCTGGAATAGTGGTAGTTGGTATTGTTGTCTTCGTCTTCGTCCTTTGTCGCCGTCCGGCTCGGCTTCTCATCATTAGCAGCAGGAACAGTAGCAGGAGCAGCAGGAGCAGCAGGAGCAGCAGGAGCAGCAGGAGCAGCAGGAGCAGCAGGAGCAGCAGGAGCAGCAGGAGCAGCAGGAGCAGCAGGAGCAGAAGCAGCCGAAGTCGAAGTCTTGGTCCTGGTCGTCGCCGTCGTCGTTGTCGTCGTGGTCGTCGTCGCAGTAGTCGTAGTAGTCGTAGTAGTCGTAGTAGTCGTAGCAGTCGTAGTAATCGCAGTGGTCGTAGTGGTCGTAATAGTTGTAGTAGGGTAGTCGCGGCAGTCGTGGTCGTTCTGGCAGTCGTGGTCGTGGGTGGTAGCACTAGTATTAGCAGCAGCAGATGCAATAGTAGTAGGAGGAGCAGGCGTAGTAGGAGAAAGAGTAAGAGCAGGAGTAGGACCAGGAGCGGCAGGAGTTGTAGCAGCAGGAATGGCAGGAGGAACAGGAGGACCAGGGGCAGGGGCAGGAGCAGGATCAGGAGGAGGAGTAGTAGTAGTAGTAGTAGCAGTAGCAGTAGTAGTAGTAGTAGTAGTAGTAGTAGTAGTAGTAGTCGTAGTCGGTAGTCGTAGTCGTAGTAGTAGTAGTAGTAGTAGTAGTAGTAGTAGTAGTAGTAGTAGTAGTAGTAGTAGTAGTAGTAGTAGTAGTAGTAGTAGTAGTGTAGCAGTAGCAGTAGCAGTAGTAGTAGTAGTAGTAGTAGTAGTAGTAGTAGTAGTAGTAGTAGTAGCACAGATCGAGACCCACAGCCAATGGAACGGGTGGATGTGCCATCCTCCAGAGCAGCGGTCAGGTATCAGGGCCCCGTCACGACCGCACAGCTCCTCGAAAATCCCTGCCCGGAGCAGGAAGCCAGCCCGCTTCCCAAACGGGATCAAATCATTCAGTTCTGCCAGTCAGATCAGATGCTGGAGCGGCTGCAGTCTTTGACCACGATCTCCACTTTGAAGGAGCCCGCCATCACGGGTGGCTTGACTGCTTCCGAGCAGGTCACCATGTGGAGCAACCGGATCGCAGTGCTTGGCCGCGTCCCCTGGATCTTTGCTCCAATCAAGCTAGCCGCCACCGACAAGGACGCCACTTGGCTGGACATTACAGAGGCCAAGCTTGTAGTCGGGGCCACTGGCCAATTCACCCTCTCAATCGGGACGGGCAATCGCTATGTGGAGCTCCAAGCCACCACGGTCTACTACGGCATTGTTCACTCCCTCTTTCAGAGAATGTGGGATCGACCAGAGATGGATGCCCTTACTGGAGACTGATGACAACTTTGAGATCGTGGCCTCCACGGTCAAATGCATGTACGACCAGACCAGTCGCAAATGTGGTGGTCTGAACCGCGCCATCTTCTACCAGCCAAAAGATGGCAGGGTGTAGCGCAAGCTTCGCATTGAGCACAACAAAGGTGACACTCCTGCCTTTCTATGGCACCGACAGAAGGAGCAACGAGACAAGCGGCAGGGACACGAGCCGTCCACCCAGACGGACACCTGGTGGCAACGCGGCTCCGGCTCCGGTGGCAGCCGCCAGCGGCGCCAATGACGGCAATCTTTTCACACGGTGCCAATGACTGCCGGACTGATTCACCGCGGACGCGCTGCCTTGCCACACAGCTTCCTTTCTCTTCTCTTCTTCCTGCACAAGCAGGCCGATGTCTCTTTTGCACAACCGCCGACGCCATCATGCCATGAAAACAAACTCTTTGCCTTTACAGTGACTACAGTGCTTTGCCGAGGACACATGTGCTGTCACGCTGGCATCATGAGATTGTTTTCAGGTACAAATCTCCCTCCTGTGCAACAGGGGCAGGCTGCCCACTGCACCAAGCACTGTTACCTGGCCGGCTGCTTTCAGTCTTTCGACTGGGAAGCTCAAGGACCAGCAACAATTGGATCCTAATTTTGATTTTTCAGACCAATCGGGTCACAGGGTCAGTTTCACACCTAAGCGAGTGCACTTGCGGTAATCGCCTGCAACGTGCTGAGCCCGCACCGCGTCCAATGGAAATAGTAGTAGTAGCAGCAGTAGTAGCAGTATTAGTAGTAAGTAGGAGCAAGTAGTAAGTAGTTGTTAATAGTAGCCAGCATGTGGTAGGTAAGTAGCTAATCAGAAGTAAGTAATAAGGGGCAAGTGGTAAGCACTAAATAATAATTAGCAAGTAGTAGGTAGTAAGTAGCAGTAGCAGGTAGCAAGGAGCAAGTAGCAAGTAGCAAGTAGCAATCAGCAAGTAGAACGTAGCAGGTAGCAGGTAGCAAGTAGCAAGTAGCACGTAGCAGGCAGCAAGCAGCAAGGAGCCAGCAGCAAGGAGCAAGGAGCAAGGAGCAAGTAGTTGGAAGTAAGTAGTAGGTGGGAAGGACAAGGAGTAAGGATGTGTTCATAGCAAGTCGTCTTTATCCTCGCAGTGGTAGTCGTAGCCGTAGTCGTCGTAGTCGTCGTGGTCGTCATAGTCGTGGTAGTCGTAGGAGTAGCCGTAGTAGTCGTAGTAGTCGTAGTAGTCGTAGTAGCCGTAGTAGTCGTAGTAGTCGTCGTAGTAGTAGTAGCAGCAGCAGTAGTAGTAGTAGCAGCAGCAGCAGCAGTAGTAATCGTAGAAGTCCTAATCGTAGCCGTAGTCGTAGTCATGGTCGTGGCAGCAATGCTGGTGCTGGTGCTGGTGGCGGTGGCGCTGATGGCGGCGGCAGTGGTCGTCATCGTCTCCGTAGAAGCAGCAAGAGCCGGAGCAGGAGCAGGAGCAGGAGCAGGAGGAGGAGGAGGAGGAGGAGGAGGAGATGCCTTCGTCCGGCCTGTGATTGGAATTCGGGTTCTTGCAATCATTTTGTTTTGTTGCGGGAGGCGAGCGGGCTGCGACTGGATGCCATCGGGCCGCATGGCCTTCCCGCAAAGCTGGAGTGGAGCAATTCTGGTGTTGGCATGGAGAAATCACACCTAGGACCTCTGAGGTCTGATCGCCCTGCGCTCCCTATCTGAGGTACTGCTCTGCTCTCTCCGCGAGCGCTGATGCCAGCTTCTGGGCTCACTCCCTGGAGCTGTTTTGGGATAGCTGGACGAGGACTCAAGAATGCATCGGCCGCAACCTGCAATCCTGGGAATGAAGCCTCTGCAGAGTATGCAGGGTCGTGCAGGGGCCCAGGTGTCCTTTGACTTTCGTTGGGGCGTAGTTTCTCTACTTGTAATGAGTCTGGCAGCCTCGTGACCTGCCGGTTTGCAAGCGATTTGACAGAGAAGGACCATTGCGCCGGACGATGCGCTGATCGGCGCTGCCATGCTGGCGGGAGCCTCTCTTTTGCATCGCTAGGGAAGCTCGCGCTGAGTTCCAGGCATGCCCTTTACCGCTCCTGGGCGGTCTCCGTGCTTCTTTGCGCCGCTTTGGTGTCGCCATTTCGGCCTCGGCATCGGCGGCTGCTGTCGTGGCGAAGAAAGACTGCGACCCGGGCGAACAAACTATGCCTTCGTGCCATTTGCTAACGGGAATGGCTAGGTCCTGTTTCTTAGCCAGTCGAGAGAGCAAGGTGTTGCGAGTTGGACTGTATTTGTTCCTCAGCCTGTAGACAGACCCGGGCGCGGTGTCAGGTGAGGCTGCGATCGAGCTGGCGGCGCAGGGCTCCGAAGGCCAGCAGACGAGAACATGTTGCGGCAAGGGTGCAATCTTTGTGCATCTTGCTACCGAGTTCTGGGGCTTATGAGCACATAAGGGGCTGTGGGGACTACGGTCACAGAGTGCTTTGGGAATGCTGAACGTTATGAATCCAAGAGGTGTTTTAGGATTTGTGAACGAGTCTTGTCAATTTTCGGATTGTCGGTGTGCTCTTATTACCCGAATGAAATTCATGAAAGGTTCTGACAGCTTCATGGATGCTTCGCATGACTAACTGCAGTTGTTAATCCTTCAGAGATTCAGAGACCCATGCTTGTCTGCCTGACCTAGGCAGTATTTTCCGTTGCTTAAGCGCATTACAGGCCAGCTGACGCGACTAAGTCTTGCAACATCGCCCAAATCTTCCGAACTTTACTGCCAGCCCTTTCACATTTGCGCGTCAGCGGGCCAGGAATGCCAACTATTGTGTCAACCGTGATCCGTAGGGATTTGTTGGAGATGCTGTGCGTAGTCCTCAGAAGGCAGTGCTTGCTCAGGACCACTGGACGAGGAGTGGATGCTCGGGGCAGAGAAGATCCTTTGCAAGAGACGGCTCTTCGATCTCCATGCGTTAGCAAGAGGAGCTACTTGGAAGTCTCCTCACCACGGCCACCAAGGCCACCAGGCCGGCAAGAGAACTCAGCAGTTTTTGAACGTTCTGTTAGATCCTTGGCGTTGGTTGGCAACAAGGGGGTCAGGACAGTTTCCGGATTTCAGGAGTGAGGAGGGGACAGCAGCAAGAGGCATCAGGTTCTGCGTGTTTTTTTGGCTGCTAGTCAACCTGCTGCTGCAGTACTTCATCTGTAGTCTATTTTTAGTCTTTCGCCTGTTATCCTCCTTCGTGTCCTTCTTGTCATCATTGATCGTCACAACGTCATCGTGGTGCACGTTCGTCCTCAAAGCGAGCACCTGATCCCGGAGGTGGGCCTCTGCCCTGCTGGCACTCCGCCTGCCGCAGTCAGCCGGACTTTTGAGGAGGCCCCCCTTTCGTCGTCGCTTCGAAGTTTTGGGAAGCAGAGGACTCCACCCTGTCAGCCTGCCCCAGAGGCCCGGACCAGTGGCCACGGCTGCGTCCAAGGTGCGGCATGGGGCTGTGAGGCTTGTTGTGCGCGTAAAGCAAGGACTGTCGGCTTCATCCCAACTAGAAGCCGCCCGGGCCCTCACAAGTGGTCCTGCTCCGGAATTGGGAGACAGGTTCTTGCGTGTAGGAGGCATGTGTCGCTTGTGAATGGTCGTCCACCAAGGTTTCCGAAAGAAGCGAAGAGAGCGCTAAGAGAACTCAGAGACATGCAAGCCGAAAGGAGAGACGAGAGCTCTGAGCTCTGGGGATCTCTGGCGGAGGTCTTTGCCGACGGAGCCTGCTGGGCCGAAGCCGTCAGCCTTGCACGGCAGCTGGCTGCAGGCTTCGGAGATTTCGCCTGTCTTTTCCAAGCTTCTCCACGTGGCAGCTCTCGAGAAAACAGCAGCTTTCGGCATTCCGAGCCGGTGAACTCGAGCTTTGATGCTACATGTAGTGTCCTGACTTCCATCACGAAGCCAGAAGCCGGCACTTCGCACCTGGCAAGGTTCTGGCGACGTGTCCGAGGCCTGCCCAGCTCGAGTTCGGAGATGTAACTCCCATGATCCACTTCCGGGGCTGGGCAGCCACCATCATCCAGCGGCATCCACAGAGGCTCTCCAAGACTTGAGCTTGTCTCGAGGTTTGTGCCAATGCCCTGACAGCGTTGGACCAGGTGCGCTCTCTTGACTCTGCTCCCGCTGTCCCACTGTCTATGCCCATTTCTCTTACTTGGAGGATTGGCGAGTAGTCAACGGAGTCGAGGTTTGGAGTTGTGAGATGTTTGCGGGCTTGAGGTTGCAATTGAAATCCAAGCATGGGCAAGGAAATCTCAAGTCTTCGAGTGCACTCGTACATGTTCTTGAGCGCTCTTTTGATCTGGGCGCTTGACACGGCTGGATTGCGAGGACGGAGAGTGGCAACGTGCTGGCCGATCTCACCGTCCGTATATCCCGTGAGAACTCTAAAGCCGGGTAGCGTTGCGGCCGTGAACGTTTGGAGGTCAGTGGCTGGGAGCACGGGCACCGCCTCTTTGAGGACTCCGAAACAAGCTTATGCTGGTGCGTCCAGGGACTTTGGCTTCGAGTTCAAGGCTTCCCCCATAAGCCAAAACCGCGGTTCGGGTTTGCATGTACGGGAATGAGGGCTCTCGGGTTCAGGTTGTGGGGCTCCTGACTGTGCCGGAGCCGAACTTTCTCAATGCTTCAGTGAGGTTTCGTCTTTCCAGGCTCTCGAATGTGGGTGCTTTCACGCGCACCCAGCCTCCCCAGCTTCGTGAGAGGAATTGCTGCTGTGGCGGTGCGAGCTGGATGCTGTGTGCTACAACTGTGCTGTGACAGCATGCAGACAAGGCTTGCTCCTCATAACCAGGGTCACGGTTTTGCAGGAGAGCATGATGTTCAAACTAAGTTAACTGTCATCATCACACATGGCCTTGGCATATTTTGGCATTGTCTCTCGGCAGGCCAGCAGTGGGAGCAGGCTGTGGCACGCAGCGAGTCCAGCCGTGCAGCGCACGTCACAGCCAGCCAGGCTTGGCCTACTTGAGGTTTTTGGCCGGCTTTTCCATCCTGAAGTCCTGAAGCCTAGCCACGCGTGTGCCGCCCAAGATGCAGGATCCGGTCCTCTTCGGCGTGGTGGTTTCCGCTTGTGGCCAAGGCACATCAGCTCTCTGCAGAGAGGGAATGGCCCCCAAGCTCCTACACAGCTGTAGAATCCCCAAGCCCTAGCCCGGGAGAAGCATTCTTCATAGATCGAAGCTCGCTTGGGGGCTTTCAGCACGTTCTGAGATGCTGGAGTTAGGGTTTGGGGTATCGTAGTGTCCCTAAGCAAGAAAGGAAGATAAATTGTTTGCAAGCAATCCGACCACGTGGCGTAAGCTGCATGAGGGCCTGCACGTAAAGGTTTTGCATGCTGCTCGGAACTTGCCATCCCTCTTCGGGGAAGTGTGCCAGTTTGCAAGTGCGAGTGTCCCCCCAAACCCTGGCCCTAAACCCTATACCTTAAACGGAAACCCTACACCCTAAACCCTGAACCCTACACCCCATATCCCTAAACCCTGCACCCTATATCCCTAAACCCTCCAGTAGGATGTGCGCGGTTCATAGCCTTTGCTGTGGACCGATCCTCTGAGGCAGCGCTTGGCTTCCGGCCTCGGAGCTCCTCCGCGCGGCCGATCGCGCTCGCGCAGAGTCGGATCTGGCGCCTTAAGGGTTCTAAAGGGTTGAGAGTTGATGGGGTTTAGGGTTCAGGGTATATAGATTTAGGGTTCAGGGTAAAGGGTTCTATCGGGTTTTGGAGCTTATAGGGTTTAGGGTTTAGAGGCTTAGGGGGTTTAGGGTGAAGGGTTCTGTAGGGTTTAGAGTTTATAGGGCTTTGGGTTTAGGGTAATTGTAGGGTTTAGGGTTTAGGGTAAAGGGTTGAGGGTCCTTAGAAGTGGGGTTCTAATGATTAGAACCCATGTTGGGGGACCCGACTTTCGAGGGGGGCTCCGTTTCGTTTTCTCAGCCTCAGATGATCTCGTCCATTTAAAGGGGCTCCGTGCTCCAGATTTCTGCAGTCATGGTGGTAGGTCGGGGAAGCTGCGGCACCTTGAGCTTTAAGTTCTCGTTTCGGCAACAAAGAGAGACTGTGGGCTTTCCGAGTTTGAGGGTTTTTGCGGGAGGTGCTTCTGTCGAGCGGATGCATGGCCGCGGAGAAAGGCCACTCTCAGATCTTTGGGGTTCGGTTTTGGGCGTCGGAGATCTCATGCCCAGTGGATGCCGAGTCATTGCAAGACTCCAGCTGCATGGTTTAACCACCTTCGAATGACACCAAGCGGAAGTGTTAGCCGTCCGACTCGTGGAGCGCCGTGTGTTTGCTCTGAGGCGGTCGTTGGCAGGCCGCTTTGTGGACCCCGGAAGGGACGGCAGCTGCAGGGCTGCCGCAGGACGTGGCCGCGCGGCATGATTGACTCGGCTTTAGACACCTCTTTGGCTGTTCTGTTCTGCCAATGTGCAAAGTTCCGAACGACTTGATGGGTTGAGCCGAAGGTCCTCCGGAACAGTGTCCTGGCCGCTTCCGGAACCTGGCCGCGATCTCTGGTTCTGCTCGAGGAGGCATTGCGATCCAAGCAAAGACAGCTGGGTTCAGGCCCTTTAGACTTAGGGTTTAGGATTTGGGGTTTAGGGTCCTGGCACCTCCCCCGCTTTCAGCATGAGTACCCGAAACCTCTTTTGAGTGAATCGTAGATACGCGGGTTCGCTTCGGGTCTTTCCTGGGGACTCGTGACATGGCGGCAGAAAGTCGTGGAGTTGCTTCTAAGAACTCAAGAGTTGTCGATGGTGCCTGTGAGGCAGTCAATAGCTGGATTAGGGCCACGACGATAGCGTCTGCGCCAAACACCAGATTCCTGGAGACATGCCTTTGAGACAGGGAAGACTGTCCGCCGTCGTCGAGTGGCACAGCCTCGGCAAGTCTGCTTTTTGGCACAAAGACCCTCCACAGGTGCCGCGGAGTTGCCTTTGTGGCAGCGAGTTGCGGAGGGTAAACGCTCAGCATCTGGATGAGATGTTTTTCTGCCATGCACCATGTAATTTGCGATGCAGGCTTTGCGGTACGGTTCCAGACACGGTGGAATCTTTTTTGGGTTCCACGGCATGAGAATTGCTTCCTGTAGCGTTCGGCAGCTTCGTGCCTTGAGCCATTAAGCCGAGATAATGGAGCAGAGCAATTCTGCTTCATTCCTCGCAGCTGGAAGCGGAAGGGGTCTTTGGACTTCAGGGATGGAGCGTCTGATTCTCAGAGGCAGGAAACGCCACGATCGTCAGCTTCAGCGCCGTCCTCGCAGCCTGCGAGCAAGGCCAGGGCTTGTGCGAGGGTTGAGCCAAAAGCCGAAGCCCTAAACTCTGACTATGAAATGCCCGTGAGATAGACGGTGCGGGCTGGTGAAACTGCCTTCAGACATCGCGTCTTTCCCAGCAGCATGCAAACTTTGGCCACATCTTTGTCACCCTTAGCCCTGAGCCTGGTCAAGTGTGTATTCACAGAGTCGCCTGCCATTGCAAAACTTCCTTGTCGTCTCAGCTCTAGCCAAACAAGCTGCTGCACAGAGTTGCTGGAAACCCTTCACTGTTGGCTTCCGCCATCATCGCCAAAATCTCGGTGTTGCCGTCAGAGAGTTCAAATGCTAGTTTCGTGTACGACACCTAGCCAGGAATTCCCGTGTGGAGGTTCCGCTTGGTCTCCGGCACTGTCGCTGCTGCGTCGGCTTTCGCACGACGGCTTGGAGGTGCACACGAATTTGTGGTAGCTGCTCTGCTACAAGTATGAAGATTCCTGTAGTCATGCATCACACCGACTCAGGTTCTTCCAATTGAAATGTTGCCTCTGTCACTAGCAGCTCTCCGTTTGTATTGCTCTTCGTTTTATTCGTTTGGTTTTCGTCATCGCCCGCACGAGCTGACACTCAACATTGTCAGCCCCCCGCCAGTCTCAGCTGAGTCCTCTTTGTCCGTCTTAGAGTTTTCATGCTTGCGACAGGCGAATGCCATCGCAATGGGGACCGCGGTGGATGCAGCTGTTTCAGCCGGAGCCTCAGAGGTATTCTGCGCCGAGTGCCTGGTGACGCAACCCGACTGTCGAGCCATTGAGCACAAAGCTCCGAGGGCGATCAGTGGGAGCACGCGCTGGTGATGTTTGCTGCGTTTTGTCAGCGAGGCAGGTGGCTGTTCTGTGCCGAGATTGCCGTCCCGCTCAACGAACCTGTCCAGCCTCCGTTGTCCAAACAACTCCATATCCGGAACCACCACGTCCTGAGCCCGAGTTGTAGGAAAATCCTGAAGCTGCACGTTGCGCACCCAAGCCTGTGCCCACATGCCTCGGACAGCGGCGGGGATGGCCTTTTTGAATTCGCTGAGATGTAACACCGAGCATCTCCTTGCAATCTCTGCGCATTGCCTGCCTTTCCTGCCGCAGGTGGCGAGTGTGACCTCGCAGCTTGTGGGGGGCTACTGGCAGCAGCTCGTCGGAATTCACGGTGTTGAATCAAAGAAGACAGTTCGCAACGTGGTGGTGCTGCGCAGTTTGAACATCTCTCTGAGATGTTCAGGTAGTGGTGATCGCTTGTTCAAGTGCCGAGTGCTGCAGTACTCTGTTGTTTCTTGCCAGCTGCGTCCTTGCGAACACATTGTTCAACCGCCAAACTTATCATAAACTAGTCTTCGGGTTCCCTGCAGATCTGTCAGGAGTGTGAGCAGTCCGGGATGCAAAGTGTGGAGGTCGACTTGCTCGGCTTGCTTGGTTTCACCCTTGGTGCGCACAATGCAAAAAAGCGGCTGAGCTTTCTCAGAAGGGGCGAGGAGGCTTCGAAGGCCAAGCATTATTAGTTCAGAGCTCCGACACTTTGCAGGTGGCCGGGATCCATAAAGCGGAGAGAGAGGAGAGGCGTCTGAAAGCAGAGGTCTAGGCCCCGAGCCCCACGGCGCTGTTCTGTAGCCAACTGGTCCAAGCACAGCCGGCGAGCTCTGGAAGATGACGCAGAGCCGGGCACTTGGAGCCTTTAAGCTTCGAAAGAAAGCAGGCGAAGTAAAAGTTCTCCAGCCCCGCGTCGCATTGGTTATCGCCATGACCCTTTTTGAACTGATTGCCGATTCCTGCTCGAATGAATCGGAATGAATGTCCAGGAAAGACAGGCTTGGGATCAGACAGAGCCTCCTCAGCAAACTTGCACTAGTTCTGCCGGCCGCCGATTGAGCCGCGCATTGTAAATGCTACGGTACCTCCTCTGCCAGAACCATTGTCTTTCTTGCTGCTGCTATTGCTTGCCTGATTCGTATCCGGTTGGTGTTTTGGCCACCGCGGCTGCTATGACCTGTACCACGAAGAAAGTTATGCAATGATGAAAGTGGGTCAAAACGTTGCGAGTTTGCATGACTTGTTTGATTCGAATCACCGCTGTGCTGTTGTCACTGCTTGCTTTTCTTAGTCTGCTGCTGATGCCCTATGAATACTATGATTCCACCCTCTCCTGCCACCCCCGTGACACTTCTTTCTGAGACTGTAGATGTTGGGATCACTACGATCGTGATTCTGCAACTTGTTCAAGCCATATTTGTTGCTACTAGCCTGGCCGCTCAACATGGCCGGTGTTGCTGGCAGTGCCCGTACTACGAATCGTCGTATGACTTAGGGCACAGTGTTCATGACTTTATTACTGTGCGGCCATGCTCAGGCAACATGAGGTCGCTCGCCAGGGCTGTTGGCCAGTGCCTTACCTCTCACGCCCATAGCACCACCTGACACGCACAGATGGCTTAGTCGTAGCTAGGGTGACCAGGCAAGAACGACAGCAGTGGTAGCAGCAGTAGTCGCAGCAGCAGTGAAACCACAGCAATCGACCCAGTGATGCCGATCGGAACGATTCTCAAAACGAGAGTCCCTGTAATGTCAACAGAGACATTTGGAGACTGCAGTAGCAACAGGAAGAAGACCAAGAAGACCATGAATAGCGTTGTTGATCGCGTTGCGGCAATAATGTTTCTGCCCGTGGGCGTTGGACCGTATCAGATTGAGACTTTTTCGACAATGATGGAGGATGATGCCGATGGCGGTGGTGACGATGATGATGATCCTGGTGATCATGATGTTGATGATGACGATGATGATCAAGGTCGTGGTGGGAATGACGTTAATAACGATGACAGCGCCAATGATGTAGACAGCAGCACCAGCCGCACCAAGATGGTTCACAATGCGAAGGCAACAACCACAAGAGGAGCAAAGCGGAACTGCCAAACACTTCTAAAGTGGGCCTGGTCCGGCTAAACCGACAGATTCGCGGCATCACCCGAGGACTAGTGGCTTGCATTTGCGCTCCCCTCACATCCGGCGGAAGCCTTGGCAGACAGCTTGCCGGCGTGTTCATGCAGTCGTCTACGCGGGAAAACATGGGTTGAAGCTGCAGGTACCGAAGTATTTCATTCCATCGGCACACAGGCGCACCCGAGGGCAAGGCGGTTTGATCTTGAGTTTTGAGGTTGCGTACGAGCTATTCGGCTGCCATTGTGCTCTGTTGCATGTGAAAGCACAAGCGTCCGGGAAGAAGTCCAGTGCAACACTTAACGAATAAATCTTGAAAGCAGAAGCCCTGCAAAATGGTCACAAATCCTGACCGCTCCAGGCCTGCAAGACGGGTGACGAGGATCTGACGAACCTCCTGCAGATCATCCCCGACTGGCAGCAGCCGGGCCCCAAGTGCGGACTTTTCGCGTAGGCTTCCGGAGGAGTTGGACGCTGAAGGCTTCAAGGGATTTGGGCGGTGTATGGAGGAATGCTTTGGTAGACTCGAGTATCTGTCCGGGTCGGTCTCTTTGTATATGTCGCAGGTGGAGAACATGTAGACGTAGATCTTGGCACGAGACACACACTTCTGGACCCAATTTCTGCCTTTGCTCTGCTCTCTGGCAGGCTGTCCCATGAGTCCCACGAGGGCCAGCACGTCCACGAGGGCCAGCACAGTCACGAGGGCCAGGGCCACGCGCACGGCCATGCCAAGAACGGCGGCAAGGTTCGGGTCGTGGAAATGCCTGCTAAACCGAAGCAAGTTTCCTGTGCAAAGGGGTTTGGGTGCGGGTGTGTGTGCGTATGCTTGGATTCCGGATTGCGAAATCTTTCTAGATTCGGTCAAAGACGACCATGAGCCCGTCCTTTTTGAGCTTCTATGCGCGGAAGGCAGGCGTGGCAGGCGTCACCTCGACGCTTGGCTGGTCATGGCACATATGTCTTGGTTCATGCGGTCAGGCCTTCTTTGCAGAGAGCTTGGTCTGTGATGTTCAATGTTCTGCTTGGACGGCTGTGAAGCACCTCCCAGATGTCCTGGACCGGCAATGGTTTTGGCTTAACCCTCCAAATGCTTGTGAGGAGGCGGATCTCACAGACACAGCAGAGCGCCCAGCTCCATGAGCACGGCGCGGCGCAGACAAACAGCTCGGGCAATGCTACTAGCAGCACCGCCACAGCGAGCTGCGCTACTCGGCAGCAGCGAAAGCACAAAGCTGGAAAGTGCCCCCGAAATCAGCACCGTCTCGTCCGGCTGAGTCTCAAGCTCAGGTGGATCTCATTCATCAGTGCCGCAACGACTTCGATTGGAACTCGTGTGTGGGTTTCGAGTCGCGCTGCTACAATGCAGCAAAGGCAGCTTGACAGACCGCCGAAGTCGCACCTGTGACGTCCAGTATGCATGCTCTCACAGACAGTGTAACTTCAGCGTCCAATCTTTAGACATCCTGACTGCATGGCCAACAGCTGCCGGTCCAGCCGTTTGCCGTCGCAGCCAGGCAGTCCAGCTGATCCAGATTACGACTCAGCAGCTTCCCGGCTGTGTTTCAGAGGCTCCAAGAAGTTCAGGCAGCATGAAGTGAAAACTTTCGTCAGTGTGACAGAAAGGGAGTTTATGTCGGGGGGTTATTCCAACGCTTAGTTTCGTGCCTACCGAGTATTCCATCTGCTTCAACCGTCAGATGTTTGGCCGATTGGTATGCTGTACACACGTGAACCTAACCCAGGCCTGTGTCGACATTCATGGTTTCGAGCATGATCCTGAAACGATGTTTGGACCGCATGAGCGTCTACTGCAATCAAAGCCGTCCGTGGAGTGCAGCAGCTGTTGATCCCAGACGACGCCCATACCCGTCCCTTTGTTGTGACAGCCTGGAAGCCTAGAGCTCAGAAAGCTCAGGAGCCAAGCTTCAGCTCCGGTCGTCAGAGCGAACTTGGATTGCGCGACTTGTTTGCATTCGCGGTTCTGACACAGAAAAGAGTAAGCTTATGGCGATTCATGGCGGCTTAGGGCCTGAATGTTTTGGAACTTGATCCTGGTTTGAGCACTTGACACCCACAGACCTTCGCGGCCTCGCAAGTGTGCTAATATTGTTTCTTCGGCTGTGAGCATGCGGGGGTCGGCTTTTCTGTCTGCCTTTTGGCTTTTCCTTGGGATGTTCCGCTGGCTAAACAACTCTACTTACTAGTGACACTAGTGTCCCCGATACCGGGATCGACGTCGAGGACCTTGTGGATTTCAGGTCAGCGGTTTCGTGTTTCTCTTCCCACATCGGAGCTGTTTGTGTTTTCATGTATATGCATATTTCAACTTTCAACACATACATACTGTAGGGGTTCAGGAATGAAGGAATGTAGGTGTGTATGAACGCACGCGTGCATGTCTCACACAAGTCTCCAGTAATTATGGCATGCTCACGGCCGTCCTGTACGCAGGGCTAAAGCTCGGAAAACTTCGGAGGACACGTGGAGCTTGCGATGCCAGAGCCAAGACTGGACGGCGTGCCTTTACTTTGAGGACCACTGCCAGCAGGCGCAATCGCTAGGAGATCTCTGCTTTGTTCAGGTTTGACCCAGGGATTGAGCACTTTGGGCTTTCATGTGCAGAGTCTTGGCATCGTTTCCGCCTCCTGTTGCTTCCTGGGCCCCGGAGACATTGAAACCTTGCTGGCGGAGTGCATCCCGACGTAGTGGTGCCATGCTTTGATGTTCGCAGTCATGCGAAATGAAACCGCGAGTCAATGGGCATCCATATACTGTATTGCAAGTTAGTGAATCTTACAAGGCCTGATAGGGGTGCTCGCAATCTTGCGAAGGCATCTGCAGAGCCTGAGCCCCTGAACCTTACAACCTTTGACTTGCAGCGCTCGCCGCAAATTTGCAGCTTCGGAGGCTTCCCCGCGTCCGAGACAGCTTTCGACCCCCGGCCATGAGGATCTAGAGCAGTTCATGGCTTTCTTTGTAGTTTACAACTGTTGAACTGACTGGTTTACGGCTTGGTGTGCCAGTCTTCTTTGACGGTTTGCCTGTGTCCTGTTTGAGCTGTCATCTTTTGCGTGCATTCGCAAGAGCCGCGCCGCCTTCTAGTGTTTGCACGGACATGGCAATATCGGAATCTGCTATGCGGCACTGAGCATCTTCACACTAAGCCCCAAGCCGAAGCTCCCTAGTCTACGCAGCACAGCTGTGCTGGAGGATTTGACAGCTGCTTCTGGCACTCAGGCTAGCCTTTGCCAGCAGCAGCCTATCGCAGCCGCCCCTCGGCGAAAAGCTCTCCGGGGTTTTGTTTATGGATGGCAGTCCTGCTGTGTCTGAGTGGCATCAACGCACGAAGACAGACATCAGTGCGGTGAATCTGTGGCCCTGCGCTGCAGCAGGACGTTTCAAAGTGCCCGACGAGTGGAGGAGGGACAGGACTGTGTAGCTTGGCTTGCATGGGCTTGAGAAGGTTTGCTGAACTGTTGGCTCTCCGTTCCATGAGCCTTTGGGCCTGTCTGCTTTCCTTTGAAGTGCTTGTGGACACGTTGCATTACCATGAGATCCAGTGCGATTTCTGCCTTGATGGGTTCATAGGATCTGATAGGATGTTCAATGCAATGTTGGACAGCATAAAGACCCTCCCTAGGAAGAATATCTGACGCTACATTCTTGGACGAGGTATGTCCACCTCTGAGGACTGGAGCAAGGATTCTCGAAGCCTAAGCTTTCTTGGATCGTTCGAAGATCGAATCATCGCAGGAAGCTTCGGCAACACGTAATGAGATACTGAGTAGCTCACAATGAGTGGGAGTTCGGTCTCACAAGCGGGCATCCAGTCGAAAGCACCCTTTCATGGTTCTCTCTATATGCCGAATGCTAGCATGGACATCAGATCCCATCTACAATCGTCCTAATCGTCACAGCTGACAGCTCAGGAAAGCCTGATCTCACAGTGCCGCAACAACTTCGATTGGACAGCGTGCACAAGCTATGAGGCGCAATGCAGCCGCCAGGCGCAGGCAGGATCTTCCTTTCTTGCGGAGTTTTGTTGTCAGGGGATATCACTCGTGATTGATCAGGGTACCCGATGGGCACAGGCGCTCGGGACATGATTGGAGTGTCTCTGTCACAGTGCTTGCTGAAAGAAAGCCTGAGCCCATGAACTTGCAAAGATGGATCAGGCTACCATGTCCCAATGCAGTGCCGTGTCTCTGTCTTCGTACACCCATGATCCACCCTTTCTTCGTTTGAGAGAGTGCATCTTTGGAGCCGGGGATCATGCCGGTCTACCGAGTGTTCCGAAGCGAGATGCGTCAGAAAGTGTTAACCTCCCTATCTCCTTGTAAGATTGAGAGGTTTCATCCATCTCGTTTTGAAAGGCGAGCAGAGCTGAGCTCCTCAATCTCTCAGTAAGACACACATCTTACAAGAAACAGAATGACTCCTCTTCTTATGAACAAAGAGTAGGAGAGCTGTTTCCTCTGTTTTGGAGAAGTGACAAAGCGGCTGCCTCTTGTCCGAACGCAGAAAGAGCGAGCTTTCCTGCTTCGTGCCACGAAATATGATATGTCCTTCTGTCTGTTTCTCAGCAACTAAAACGACAGCTTCCTTAGCATTTCCGGGCGGCCACACTATGTGGTGCGTTTCGTTCCTGCGGGAGGTCCGAGCGGCCACACTATGAGGGCCGCGGCACTCAGGCCCGCACTTCGTTCGGCTCAGGTCGCATTTTCATGCGGCCTTGAAGATTTAAGAGGCAGTTACATGGGATCTTTCTAGAAGCTAGGCCAAAGATTGCTTCCAGCTCTAGGGTATGGGGCAAGCCTGTTATTGGCGGAATCCGACCGATCGAGGACTCTGACGACTGCATGCGCTCAATCACTGCAGTGCGCTTCTGCTTAGCCGACTGCACCACTGGAGATTTCCAAGAAATCCATCCAGTGGCTGACAGATGCTGGTTGGCTTTAGCAAGATGTTTTTCTTTAATGTTGGCTTGTTTTATTGGTTTTTTGCTAAACCTACCTACCTCAACAGTCACGGAGTTGTCGGCAGCTTCAGTTGATCTGAATCGGATGTCGCAGCCGGGGTATGCTGCTCAATCGATTGCACGCCTCCTTGGTCGAGTAGAAGCTTCGCGGGCACTCGAATTAATGGCGATCTGCTGCATCGCGACCGCCACTATCATGAGTGACAACATCCTGCATCCCACATCCTCATCCTTATCATCCTTCCTTGGTATCTTCATCCTTCTTGACCATCTGCTTTTCTACATCATCATGAACATCATGCTTATCATCATCATGATCAGAACTTCTGTTGGTGTCATTAATTAGGACTGGCATTATCATCGGTTTCCGCACACCTTCATCCGTTGCATTCCTCATAATCTTCAATCAGTCAGAAGCAGTGTTCAAAGCTCCATGTGAAAGCTGCATCACCACAGTCACCTTCGCTGTCGCTATTGACAGAATGATAAGGTTCTGAACCCCTTTGGTTTGCATTTACCGGTTTGCCATCATTTCCCCATCGTGATGGTCGCAGCTGCGCCGTCATCGTCATTGTCCCGCTCCCTCTTCTCTCACTCTCTTTCTTCCGTGTCCCTCAATGTCTCTCTCGCTTCGCCCTCTCTGTTCTCTACTTTCTCTCACTCACTGTCTGTGTCCCCGTGTCTCTTTCTCGTCCCTCACCCTCACTCTCAGACCGCAAGGACAGTTTTGAGCCACACCTTGGCTGCGGAGCCCTGGTGAGAGGGGCAGGCCCGGGATTCGAATTTCTTGCACGTGTATAGATATGCATGTGTATACACACGTGCGTATGTACATGCATGCAGATAGGTAGGTAGATAGATAGATGGACAGATGGATAGATGGATAACAGGTAGAGATGCATGTGCACATACGCGTAGATATATATATATATATATATAGATGCCCACGCATATCAATATGTAGGATGTAGATGTAAATGTGTACGTATGTGTTTACAACTGCATGAATATATATATATATACACACAGAATCTTGTCTTGTCTTATGTTATATCATGTTATGTTATGAAAAACTAGAATGTACAAATGCGCGTATATATATATATATATGTATATATATATATATATATATATGTATGTCCGGTGCTGTATATATATATATATGCTGCCCCCCCTCCTGGTTATCTACCCGTTGGGGTGGGGAGAACGAGGGTGGACCGAATGGTCCGTTTGGCGGGCCGTGGTGAGGAATCTAGGATCCAGGAACTCCCTGAACGGGTCGAAGCTTACTTAGTAAAGAATACAGGTAAAGAACAGATACCTTGTAAGATATCCCTATACTCACCTTATAGAACACCTTCTGCAATACCTTGCGGAATAACTTTTGGACTTCCTCTTCGGCTACCTTATAGAAGACTTGATACACTTCCCCCGATATATCCTACGTGTAATATACCAAATAGCACACCTATCTGGAATACCTTGTAGAATACCTTATAGAAGACCGCCTATACATGATACCCCCTGTATGCCGTAGAATGCCCTGGAGTTTCGCATAGACAGGGGGTTCAAACACGAAAAACCAGTAGGAGCCCCAGATCTGAGAAGTCACCACTTGAATTCTAGCTTGTGGAAATCAGGAACCAGGAAGACTAGCCTTACAACTAAGTTGTAGCATACCCCCCCTGTATATACTACCTTTATGAAAAGAATTCCCTTGAGAATACCCCCCCTTTATAGGCTGCAGCATACCTTTTGTACAATACCTCAGGAGTACCCTACTGAATGCCTTATAGAATGGGTATAACTACCCTCTAGCAGAATACCCTACAGAGGAGGCCTGTGTAGTACCTCCTCTGTATACCTTACATAGATATACCGTTTAGAATATCCTCTAGTATACCTTGTAGATACTCTTTAGAATACCTTATACGACATCCTATAACATACCCTACAGATAACGTCAGGAGGAGCCCTAGATCTGAGAATTCACCAATTTAATTGTAGCTTATTGAATCAGAGATTTCTAAGAAAGAGACCGGGAATCTAGGAAGGAGCATTGCTATAGACTGAGTACCCTCACCCTTTCTACAAATCGCAAATGAGTTCATACAAATACGGAAATACCTCGTAGAATACCCCCCCTATATACCTTGAATACCTTATCGAATACCATGTAGCCCATATGATACATGTTCAATACCTTATAGAATACCCTATGTGTATATATATATATATACAGCACCTTCCCAGACATACACCCTAGATAGAATACCGAATAGAATGCGCTATGGAATACTTTATTCTGAAACGACACCTTCGGAAAATTTGATGCTATCGAACCGCTCCTGCTTGTTGTCCGCATTTGCAATGGATGCCACAGCGGTTCGGTAGCACCAACTTTTCGAACCGCCGTCTTAAGGTCTGGAAGACGCAGCGCTTCCGATAGCAGCACATATTCTGAAGCGACACCCCTCAGAAAATTTGGTGCTATCGAACCGCCCTTCGCTGTCCTCATGCTCGGAAAACGCAGCGGTTCGACAGCATCAAATTTCTGAAACGACACTGTTTGGAAATTTAGTGCTATCGAGCCGCCGCTTTTTGTTATCCGAAGTTGCAACGGATAACACAGCGATTCGATAGCACCAATTTTCTGAAGGAAACCGGTGTGGCGACAGCTGTAGGTACATATCAACCTTATTGAGTTCAATAGGCCTATTGAACTCAATAGTCCTCCCAGATTGAAGATTGAAGATCTCACAGAAAGCTTTCCCAGGGCATCTTCAATCTTCAATCCGACAGCCCTATTGAATAGGCCTATTGAACTCAATAGGGCCCCCGGATTGTGCGAAAAGCATCCCAAAAACCATCGACTATCACTTATCGTATGTAGTTGTTTTACTACTGAACAAATACTGTGGTTCAGAGGATACACATGGACACATACAGAGCAGTCTTTAAAGCGAGGGGATAGGGTCAGGGGGCTAATGCACGGGATCTACACCAGCATCTGTCTCTGTCTCTGTATCTGTATCTCTCTGTCTCTGTCTTTGTCTCTGTCTGTCTCCGTCTGTCTCCGTCTGTGTCTTTCTGTCTGTCTCTGTCTCCGTCTGACTCCGTCCGTCTCTTTTTGTCTCTCTCTGTCTCTCTCTCGCTCTGTATCGTGTGCAGGATCTTCATGCTCTGTTTGGCCAAGGCGAATGCAAGGGATTGACGGTTGTGTTACGCCCCCCTGCCGACTGCAGGTGGTGCTGCATGGCTGGATAACCCAGGCTTTGCCCACACCGGCCTTAGATGAGCTGCATGATTTTCATGATGCCCATCCTGCTCGGATGCGTTCACTTCGACGCAGAAACATACTGCCTGTGCGCATCAAGACTCTTTCTGGATGCAAGTTTTCATCGCTGGTCAGACGCATAGCTCGAGTGGGACTGGCATTCTTGTAGACGTGTTTGGCAGCTCTGTAGTTAGCGTCTACAAAGGGAGATGCAAGCGGAACATGTAAGCAATCTCGGCTTGCAATTGTTTAAGCCACCATGCTGTGGGAAACAAAAGCTTCTCGAAATTCATATGTTGAGTGGGCAGTTGGAGAGTTTCCCCATCGGAAGAAAACCTTCCCAGCATCAGTGGACCGTTACCTTACAAGTGCCTCTCTGAATGAGAGCAGGATGTTTATGGCCCAGCGCCGGAGTCTGAGTGGACGCAGTGGCAAAAGCAGGCAGTGCACTCTATGATGCCATTCTTGCCGGGAGGTGGGTGAGATTCTGGAGTCCAGAGCTTGTATTCAGCCTGGAAGACAGAGATGGTGGCCAGAAGAAAGCATAACTTGTGCCTTGAACAAACACAGGGCGACAATACTGTCACTGCCGCTCTCTGGCTCGGACCCGGCAGGAGGATCGGAGTAGACAGTCAGATGTCCGTTTTTACCAGAGAGGTTCAACTGTTTTGCGCCTCATGGGCAAGAGCCCCTTCCTGTCAAGTAGTCCTAGCCCTTGAGTCCAAAATCAAGCTACTGATTCAGACTCTCTCTACCTCACTATAAGTATAATCTAATTATACCCCCAAGCCCTATTCTAATCATTAAGGCTTCGACTCTACGGACAAGATTTGCTTGAAAACAGCTCGAAGCCCGGGCACCGCGCGGGACCCCCTGGGGCGAGGAAGCGAGGCCCGACAGCCCAGTAGAAGTAGGGTTTTTCTGTAGGGTTCCTTTAAAGGGTTCTGTAGGGTTATAGGGTTTAGGGATTAGGGATTAGGGTTTAGGGTAGTTATAAGTAAAGTTATACCTTCCGCAGCCCTCTTCACGCGCACTTCGGACCATGCTTTAGGAGCCTTTCACCTCGCTTTTTACAGGGTTTTATGTTTTCGGCCTTCGGATTTGCCGCTGCACGCAGGGTTTTGCCACTTCGAGGGGTTGGGGTGGGGGGGGTGGGGGAAGGGGCTATTTCCATCAGGTCGACTGCTACAACTCAACTACTACTACTACTGCTGCTACTACTACTGCTACTGCTACTACTACTCCTACCACCACTACTACTACTACTACTACTAGTACTACTACTAGTACTAGTACTAGTACTAGTACTAGTACCTGTACTAGTACTAGTACTAGTACTGTTGTTTGCGTTGCTTCTGCTGCTGCTACAGCTGCTACTGCGACGACTACTAGCACTACATGGGATTACTACGCTTACAGGATTACTACGCTTACTGCTCGTGCTCCTCTTGCTTCTGCTGCTGCTACTGCTGCTGCTGCTGCTACTGCTACTGCTACTGCTGCTGCAGCCAAGCTCGGGTTTAGGGTTTAGGGGTTTAGGGTGTAGGGGTGTAGGGTTTTAGGGTTTAGGGATTTAGGGGTCAGGCTTCAGGGATTTAGGGTTTAAGGTGATTTTATGCCAGGTTCAGAGCATAAGAGCTTGCATTTTTCGGTAGTGCTCACAACTTGAATCCCGGCATCCTACGGTTGATGATACAAATCCTGCTATACTCATCATAAGGCGTAAGGAATATACCATAATTCCTATAGTTTAGGGTCCTTAACGTATACATACATACATACATACACACAACAGTTTCCACAAAACGCGTCCCACTGCTGTCACGCGGTCAAAAGTTTCCACGAAACCCCACTGCTGTCACGGTTAAAAAGTTTCCACAAAAACGGAAAACCACCCCCCAAAAAAGCAGAATCAACAAAACTGTTAGAAACACGTTCAAGTCACCAAATGCCACGCCTGCCACGATTTTCAAAGATATCACAAACACTTCAAATCAAGAAACGGCTACAATTATTGAAATTGCGCCCGCGTATCTGAGTCAAAACTTCCACTCGTGTGCCTGCTGCATGCACTTCAAATCATGCAAAAACGGCAAATTCCTCGAGTATTTTGAGGGTTCACTGCACATATGTGACCTCATCACGTGCTTAAGGGCCTCCGCGTCCTGGTTTTCACGAGGCGAAATGCTCCTCCAAAATTCAGCCCTTTTGCAATTCCGTTGATTTCTTGTTGTTCTACCGTCGTCGAACGTGCAAATTCCTCGAGTTGTTGACACCTCCTCATGGAGTTCAGTCTATGAACAGACCACGCAAAATTCAGCATGTTGGCATGTTCATAGCTTCAAGACACTCTTGTTGGCAGCTGTTACGAGGCCAAAACTCGAGTTTTAACGCGTTTACGTGCAGAATCGTGTGATTTTCACACGTAGGCAAATCAATATGAATATTGTGTTTTTCGTGGTATTTCCAATACAAAACGCTTCTCTGTCCTGCCGCGTGCGCGTGAACAGGGCTTCGGAGCGTTATAAGTAGTGTAACTATACTTATAGCCCACATTAGGGGCAGCATAACCCCACTTACAACTACCCATGAACCTCCAAGAAGTCCAAGCTCCGATTCTTGGTGCCTCACCTTGAGGGCTTTCCTTCAGAAGCTTCCGTGCCCTGAAGAGGCCTCATGGCGCTTTCGCAGACATGGAGCGCCGGCCTGCACTTGGAGAGGAGATCCGGGCTTAAGGTCTCCGATTCATGGTATTTGAGTTTCCTTCTTTTAACGCGTTTAAGTGATCGTCGGCGAACAGGATAGACGGATGTAATGATGCGATCACATATGCATCATGTGGGCTTCTTAGTTGTTGAGGGAGCAGTTGTACTCTTCACCACTGCGATGTCTGCATCTGTATCACACTGGTAGTTTACGCTTTTCATCGGAACACCAGCTCTGCCCTTGCTTGATCACCTGCCTTGAAGCTTGGCAATGCTCCGGTTTCAGGGCTGTCCAGTCCGGACCATGGTAGCCAATGTACTGAGACCGATAGCACTCAGAAGCAGTGTGCGTTCCGCCTGATCATCACTTCAGCTGCCCTATTACCGAACGATTTTTGCTAGGAGCCATAAACACAGAATTGCGATGTGCAAGCCGGGGTGCAACCAGAATACTTGCCTATCAGATCCAGATGATCTTGGACACCGACTGTTCTCATTTCCAGTTGTTGCATGTTTGTGGTCGTTTGTTTCAGTCTAATGCTTGCTCGCCTCTTCTTCTCTTTTAACAGTGGTCACCAGACGTATTGTGTCACTGCTGGTACGAGTACACCCTGCGACCACTATAAGAAATTCGGGTCCCAGGGCGAACTGTGCTAAACGACAGCAGCTAGTTTTTCAGGAGTCTCAGCTAGCCATTCGGTCTGCGAGCGCTTGGGGCGTTGCCTTCGGAGTGTGCTTGAGTTGTGGGCCCGCCTGCCGTCCGCCTCCCAACCTCCGTGCATCGGGAATGCGTTCCTCATGGGAGAGGAGAGAGAAGGCAAGTAGCTGAGACATTTGCTAGGCCAGGGAGCGCCTTGAGCTACCGTCCGGGCACAACAACGACATGGGTAGTGGTCCAGGGAGCCACAAGGCCACCTTCTTGGACTTACGAAGTATGCTTTTGTACACATACGGTGCGAAGAGTTTCCCTGCCTCGCTAACTTGTTCCAGCTTTCGTAGCCACCTCTCAAGTACGACGTTTAAGGCCAACGACGATGAAATCCAGGTCAGTGATCATCGTGACAACCAAACTAAACTCACACAATCCTCAAGGAGCACGTCCACCTCGGGCAAGATGTGTGGCTCCCGGTAGAGACAACTTGTGTTCCGGCATTGGTATCAGTCCGGCCTCTAGGCCATTCATGCCTCCAACTTGGGATCGAGCTTTTTCTTGTTCGGTAGTTTTGAGTTCGACTTGGTCTTCCAGTTTCGGATGGCCGAGGCTCCGCAGAGGCTCCGGTACACTCGAAAGAACCCCAGTCCTCTCGAGAATAGCTAGCAACAGGGTGCTTTTCTGGTTCCAGCCCCCTGACAACATGAAGCGCCGGTAAGCTTCATGAAGAATGCTGCTGCTCAACAATCTGTTGCTTTCGCAGTCTGCCCGTTTCCGCACCTGCGGAGGGTCGCGCGACAAGCCGCGGCGTCCGAGGCAACTTCTGCCGAAATCGCTAAGCCACGGCGCGCTGACAACCTCGGGTGGGGACCTCCAGAGGGCTCTGGTCTGCGAATGATCTGTCTTGAGATCATTGTGTGGTCCGGATCTCTAGCTGTAGGTTTGACCAATGCTGCGCAGTGCTAGATAGGCGGAGCTCTGCGCTGGCCTCTGCCAGGTCCTTTCAAGAAGAGCAAGACGATGGTCTGCCCTTCAGTGCGAGCTCTGTTTGCACACCGGATAATCATGCGTACCCACTTTGCCGAAACTGGGCGCCAAAACTATTCTGTGCCTGACCCGAAGCAACCCCGAAACTATGGGTACCCTTTTGATCACGCGTGTCAGGGAAGAGGTTGAGGGTAGCAACTCTGACGGTGATGCTGATGATGCTGCTGATGATGGCGTTGATGATCATGATGATCATGTTGATCCTGATGGTGTTAAGATGGTGACGATAGCCCTGGTGATGACGATCAAGAGGCCGACGACAGCGGTAATTCTAATTCCAATGTTGCTGTGTGCAGGCACCACTTGCTGGTTGCCGCAAACTTTCGCATCGGGCTCTCAGCTCCCCCGTTCCCCCAGTTTGTCCCAAGCAATCTGCGCTGAGGCCGCGTGTCCCGGGTTCAGGAATGTGCCTGGCGATCGTTCCCAAGAGCCCTTGACACCTCTGGCAAGTAGGTGCATTTTCTTGAACTAGCCTCGAGCCTTCTCGATCCGAATGGCTACGGTTTTCATGAACCCTCGCATGCCCCGCGTGACCATGGATGCTTCGCTGTGCAGACCCAGCGGTTTGTTTGGCTAGGCGGTTAGGACCTAGAAAACTTCAGGTGAGCAGTGAGCATTGCATGCTCCCCGTTCCGCTTTCTTCGGAGTCCCGATGCAGGAAGATGGCTAATTGCCTTCCTGAGACAATCTTTGGCAGACAGCTGCTTGGCCGCATTGGTGCACTGGCCAAAGGTCGGACTGCAGTGACTGTTCTCAACACTCATCACATGTGCTGCCGAGGGTCAGTCCTGGTTTGGCCATGTGCAAGACGCGCACAGGTGGCCTGACATGATTCTTTACAGCTTCTTTCCCCAGCCAGTGGTAACACCATGTATGGGGCTCTGGTTCTGACGCTCAGTTAGGGTACCGTTCTCGCTACGCTCTCCCCCCGAGACGCTGCCTTGAAAGCTGGCGCTCGCCACCGTTCCGTGCATGTGTCGCGGAGCAAATCGCTGTGCTGCTCGCTCTGAAATCGTTGCAAGGCAACGCTGTTCGACCCCTCGGGCTCTTCGGTGTGCTATGGTTTCTGCAGAATTGAAATTTTAAAACAAAGCCTGGCTTCGCGCTCTCGCCCATGCCGTCTGGTTTTCGCGTGTTTGATGTCGGAGTCTCGAGATGGCGCTTTCGCCGTCTGCCGGGCACAAAATCTCCTTCCACAGCGCTTCTTGCAGGTCGGCTTTTAGATGACCACAACAGTCAGACATGTGGTGGTCTCCTTCCAGTGGTGGACTACGTGGTACTTCATATCTACGCCGGCATAGTCGAAGCAACTGAAGGTCTTTTCGTGGGGCTAAAGCCTGGGTCCTTGACGACTGCCTTCTCACGTGCGAAATTGCGAGAGTCGAAGGGGCCTTAATGATGGGAATACGGTCTTGGGGTGCATATCAATGTAGATACTTCGAAGCCCATCTGTTCTCTGGAGCCTCCCAAGCTCTCCATGCCTTCGTGGTACACAAAGATCAGTTTTTTCTGGTTGAACGAGAGCTTGAGAGAAGCGGGGGACTTTTGTTTGGTTCCGCGTTCTCCTTGCTGAGGTGACACAGTTCTCCCAGAGGATCATGATGATCAGGGAGTGCTGCCCTTTGAAACTATTGACTCGGCCACTCGGCTTCCCTGGAGGTCGGTTACCTGTGCTCAGAGCAAGCACAGAAACAGTAGCAATCACACAGTGTTGCAAGAACGGTACGGTATGCCTGCGATGAATGTTCATCTGTTGGTGTATCCGGCCGTGTGCACGTGTGGGGCCCCGTGCAAGAGTCCACTCCCAAGTTGCTGCCTTAGCCTCGAAGGACTCGGACAGCGACACGCTTGTTCTGCCGGGCTGGGCGTCGCCGACCTCCTCGAATCTTGGTTCTTTGCACTTACCCATCGAAATAATGTACATCCCGGGCGTCGAGCATTGCGATGAAACCTGGACCTTGGGACGGGGGTCGTAGGAGGAGTGTTCTCCAAAAGAAGCCTCGCCCGAAGTCGCAAAGCCTACGCCACCGTTCTCGTGCAGAAGCCTTCACAGTGGTTCCAGCGAAGATAGAAGGAGGCACGTTGTAGACTGTAGACACAGCAAAGTCGCCAACGCTGGGCGAATCGAAAGGAAGCTAGAGTCCTCGAAAGCCGGTGAAATATTCATCCGAAGCATCAGGCGTCTCCAGCAGACTTGAGCCAGATAGCGTGAAGCTGGGAGGAGACAAAGACACAGTCGAGGTGCCCGAACTGAGGCACGACGCGTTCACGATAGATAGTTCACGGAAGCATCTGGGGCTTGACATCCTGGCTTAACAACCACTGACGTCTTCAGCATCAAACCTCCTCTGCCAGAGAGGGCTCTCTTCAACTGATAGGAACTGGTTGCAGCGCCTTTGCAATAGTCCTCAAGTAACCACCTGAATGTAGGGCCGTCCCTGTCAATGTAGGCAGCTTAGCAACAACGTACGAATCATACACTTCCTTCACCTCTCCGATGCATCTGATTCGGCTCACATCGTACGACGACAGCGGTGGCCACGATGACAACCATATCTACCGCGATCACTGCCACTGCCGCTCCTGTTACTGCCACTGCCGCTGTTCCTGCGCCTGCGTCTGCTTCTTCTCGCGCTTCTGCTCCGGCTCCTGCTCTCGCTGGTGCTGCTGCTGCTACCGCTGCTGTTCCTATTGCTATTGCTACTGCCATTGCGTTTCCTCCTCCTCGTACTAGTGCTAGTGACTGCTAGTGCTAGTGCTAGTATTGCTTTCTGAAGCTTCCAAGCTTCTCATTAGGACTGACGAGTCGCCCGTCTTCTCGGATGCGACTGTGGACATCGCTTGGCCCTCCGCAGGATCCAAGTTCCACGGCCAAGGGCTGCTTGGGCGAATTGATTTTTTGCCTACTGGATTTTTTCTACTTGGCACAGCTCTACGAAAGTGTGAGATGAGGCTCTGCAAGCCATGTGCATGGCTCTGGAAGCCCCAGGGCTGCTTGAATGGCACGGCCTGCCTTCACTGCCACTTATGCCCAAAGAGCGAAGTGAAATCGCGGAAGAAGCTTCGTGCCAAGGCCCGCAAGGCCCGAGTCCCAGGAGTCCCAGGGGTCCCAGTCGCGGCAGAGGATGGAAGCATCTCTGCTCCTGGCCTCGCCCCCTCCGTCCTGCCTTTGTCCATTCCACCGCCCCCAGGGCTGCCGCCCCCAGGCCTCTCCTTGCCATTGCCAAGGATAGAGTACCAGCCATACCCAGACTCAGATCCACTTGAGGAGCTCGAGTCACTCGAGGCGCAAGCCGCGCCCGCGCCCCCCATGCCCTTCCAGGCAGAACAGGAAGCACAGGACGGGAGAGAGGAGGGAGGCAAGTGAGAGCAACAGGTTCTTGGAGTGCAACTGTCCAATCTGGTGCAGCTCGTTCCCTCCAACAGTCATGGTTGCTTCGCGCTCCTCCGGAAAGTGTGTGAAGTGTCTGTGAAGTGTGTGGTGTGGGTCCCATGGTTTCCTGATGATCCCATCGGCCCGTTGGTCGCTCGAGCTCGATGCTCGCCGACCTGCTTGTGTTGTGTTCTCACACTGGTTGCCATGGCCTCTCCTCTCCTACTCGCGGCGACGAATCAATCTTGCTTGCGTTCGTGCATGCGTCATGCGTGTACTGTACGTGCGCAAGTTCCCATCCCTGTGGCAGCTGCCTCTTTTGAGATGCGGCGGATCCGAAGCTTAATAGCAACAGTCACAAGGGTGGTGAGTTGGAAGCCTGATCCCTATGACGGTTGGCTGGGTGTCACCACATATGATTCTGATTAAGCTCGTCCTGATCATTACGGCAAGCAGCAGAAAGACAAGCATTAGTCGGATTGCAACGATGCCAGCCGGGAAAAGTGGAAGTAGTTGTTCGATAAGTTCTAGAGCGCACATCATCGGCATCATATACATGTGAAGCTACCAAGAATTGACAGTAGCTGTTACAGTTGTACAGTTTTTTTTCGCGCCGGGACCTTGTTGTCTAGGATGACCATTACAGGACTCCCTGAACTCCTTGAGCTCCGTGGGCTCCTTGCTTCACGCCAGCGGCCGCTGCAAGCCTTGCGGCTGGTTCTGGAAGCCGAAGGGCTGTGCCAACGGCGCGGACTGCCTGCACTGCCACCTGTGCACAGCCAGCGACCTCGGCCAAGTTCGATTTCGGTTTTGGAGAGTTCTCGCATCGCAGAACCTTCGGTCCTTCGGTGAGTGCCAGCCCGGATTTCAGACTTTGCAGATGCGTGGCAAGCTAAGGCGAAGCCCGGCGCAAGAAGAGGATCGCCTCGAAGATGAGGGCAAATGGCTCAGAGTCGCAGGTACCTGACCAGGACCGGACCGGACTCGAATGCTCGAGCCTACGGTGGCAGTTGCCCGACGGAGACATTGGGCATGCAGAGTTTGTATGACGCTGGCGTGGCTGATGCCTTCTGTACCCCAGGCCTCACGAAGAGACACTTCCGACTTTGCACGCCAGAGGACCAGCAGCTCCAGCTTCTCACGGAAGCGCTGGGTGGTCCTTGACTCGGGACGGGGAGGGTGGATGAAGATTCGTTTCAGAAGCGATGTGCATGCTTGTCAATCTTGACGTCAACTTCTTTCGGTTTTTCGCTTGGGAGGACACGGATTGTGATGCCATTCAGAAACAGCAAGCATCGTGCCGGTCGTCGTAGCAGCAACAGTTGCCTTTGGAAACCCGGCGTCTCCGGGCTGGTGCCTGTCGGCCCATCTGACCGTGGACTGAGGTTTCCACTTCAAGGTCTGAGCACGGCAATGCAGAGCCTTTCGCCTCACTCAGACCAAGGGTTGGAGACCCTTTAAGGCCAGGCATCTTGGGTTCAAAGCGAGGTTTGGGAAGCTGAAGCTCTGGGGGGAAGGCACAGACTGACGTGGTTTCTCTTCAAAGCATCGTTAAGAACTTTTCAGAGCTTGCTGATGGGGCAAGTTGGTTTCTTCAGCTGTGCACCCCCGCGACTTAAGCGACTTAAGGCACCCCCCAAAGTCGCGCAGTGCACAGCAAGACACTCTGAGCAAACCCGGAAGATGAAGAAAACCAACGGCCAACGTTTCTGCCGCAAAACCCCCGCCCCGGAGGCGCGCCTATGAGGCACGACAGGGACCATCTGAGTGAGTTGACGCAGTGGGATGCACAGTCATGCACAGTGCTTGGCACCGGTGATGCCGCCTAAGAGAGCGAGCGCATCTATGGTGTTGTTCTCGTATAGCTGCTGTGCTGTCCCAGTGACTTCGGACAAGATCTTCCAAGGCCATCGGTTCGCTGGCCCTGTCCTGCCTGTCGGGGCAAGATGCACTCTCAAGCTCTAAAGTCCGAAGCTTCGGCTTCAAGAGTATAGACAGGAAGAGACGCCACAGTCTTGAAGCGGGAACCTGGACCTAGATCCATTGCAGCCATGCCAGATGCAACTTGCCGTGACAGCACGCCTGCACGAAGGTGCGTGTCTGCTTGACGCGAGGTCTGCGTCCGTCGGAGGGCTCCATCATGGCCAGGTTAGATGCACGAAGTCCAATCCTCAAGTGTCAAGTCCTGAACCTGCAGCCGGAAGCAAGACGACAACGACTGAAAACTATCCTGGCCGTGACTGCCTCCAGACGGGCCGTGAATCGACGCAAGTGCGACATCTTCCAGCAGCCTGCTTGTGACAGGAAAGCAGGCCAGGGGCGAGTGGCAGCGTGTTGAATCTTATACAGTCGAACAATGTAAAACAGATACGTGTGCAAGGATCAGGGCTTACCAGAGTAGCCTGCCACAGCCCCTGGCCCCACGGACCTCGGATGCATCTGTCCACGGAGTCGCGGGCCTGTAGCTTGCTAGTCAGTCCACAAGGGCAACGGAGCCCCCAACACCTCGAGGCACAGTGGGCAGGATTCACCAAGATCGCCCGTTTGCAGAGGGCTGGAGGGGCTAGTTCTATCACCGCCTGAGTTCCCTTCGGTTGATGACGTAAAGACACTGCAGCACCCAGCGCCGTGAATGCAGTCTTTTTAGAATTCCCCGAAAGCCTGCTGTTTTCACTCTTTCCACCTTCCATTCTCCGCCTTTCTTCCAGGACATCGAGGCATCTAGCATAGCAAGGCAGCCTGACATGTAGATGTAGCAGCCATCCCCTCATTTCTTTTCTTGTTGCAACGAGGGATTTCCCTCCAAACAATGGCGTAGGCAGCGGAGTTTCATAGGAGCTCACTTCTCTGCCTCTGGCGGGCTCCAGTCTCTTGCTGGTCTCACTACGCGATGCTACGGGCATGGGCCACAGCACGGGCAATGCCGCGATTCTGCAGCTTTAAGTGTGCATCAGTTGCACATAGGCCGATCCTGGTTCCAGCCAGGTTGGCCGCGGGGGGTGTCCGGATGCTCAATCCTGGAGCCCTGTGTGTAGAGTGGCAGTGCTCAGCCCCCCCACCCCCTCTCTGCGCTCTGACAAGGGGGCGCACACCGTTTTCTAAGGCAGCGCCGTGCAGGAAGACTGGAGTCACAGCACTCACTTTTGTGCGCCTTCTTTGCTCCGCATCGGATCGACAGAATCGACAGGCAAGCAGAAGTTGGCACCAGTTAGTTTGTTTGCAGGCTGGGACATCAGCTCATGCACGGACCGCGCGAAGACAGTGACTACTTGTAGTCAGCTGTCTTTCGACAGGCTGCCTGTTGGTTGGCAAGTGAGCAGAGGGCCCCGAGGCCTAATCGAAGCGCTTCCGCCAACAGCCAGTACATGCATCCCGTCTACTCCGGCTTGCAACTTGAGCTGATGGACGCGAATTTGTTTTAAGCCGACGGCCAGTGCCATCGTAGCCAAGACGACCCGAGCCGGCTACCGCTGGCTAGCCGGGCCGTCCGCCCGCTAGAGACAATGCCATGGTCAGACACTCTGGGCCTAGGAGTTTTGGATAATGTGGCACTGCTTTTGGATTAGGTGGCCCTCTTGAATTCGTGTTTTTTTTTTTTTGGTCCGGGGCTCATTCATTTCTCGGTGCCATTGTGGCGGATCGAATAATGTGTGCTTTTTGGTTTGCTTTGGCCCTTTCTGCTAATGGTCAATCAAAATTTAGTAGAGGATCAGGAACGTAAACCCAACGCCACCAAAGCCTTTTAGGGTACCCTTAAAGGAACCCTAAACCATCCCAGACCCCGCTAAACAGCTCTAGGTGCACCCCAGCCCTCGCATAATACGAGTGTTGAAACACTCGGGAATGGGAATGAGCACGCTGAGCGGGCAGAGCCCACAACCAGTTCTAGCTATTCAGTGCACTCACTGGGTTTGCAGAATCCTTTCCACGAAGTCTTCATGTGACTCCAAACCTGCTGAGGTACCCCACAGCTTTACTGGTCTTATTAGTAGCTGATGTTGGCTTGCGTGCGGTGCTGGTCGGCGCATGTGGAGCATTCTCCATAACTGACGGCGAATGCAGCCAAGGACAAGCAGAGGCAACATTATCGAGCAGTAAGCTTAGTAAGCTTGCGTGGCAATCAGGCCGGTCCTACTCGTAACACTTGTCTTCAGAATCACAGCTTTGCATCTTGAAAGAAGCCCAGGATCTGTTTCAGCCTGGACTAGGCTTGGGACGAAAGCTACAGTACTCTCGGATCTTTGTTTGTTTGTTTGTTTGCTTTTTCGTCTGCCGTGTACATACATGCATACATTCATACTTTCTTACATACATACATACATACGTGTGTGTATACTGTATATGACTGGTATATATATATATATATGTATACAGGTTTATATGCACTTACAAATACACGCATGCCTCCAGTGTATACGTACGTACATGTTAACAAACAAAGGATCTATAAGCCAGGAAACCAACACATCAACATATGAACACATAAATGTATCAGAAATGGATAAACAACTAAGCTGGATTGCGCCTTCTTGTGTTTCTCTGTGATGACAAAGACGCAGAGGTACGTATTGGTGAAGTGAAGTAGGAAATCCCGATAGTTTCCAATCCAGTAGAAAGCAGACAGAGGACCGTAGAGTTGTAGAGGAACAGCTGGCAAGAAGGTTGGGTGGATCGGGGGAGGGGAGTATGTAGGTATGTATGTATGTATGTATGTATGTATGTATATGTATATGTATACATATATATATATACATATATGTATATGTATATGTATATGTATTTGTTGACTCACATTACATACTATACATCCACAGACACCGAGGCGGGGCTCATCTCAAGAACGTTCGAAACCGTTGGCTGGGGAAGCCGAGCTTGTACCTTTGGGCTGATTTACGTCGGCCCTTGCGATCGGAGTCCAAGGGCACAGAAAGCACAGAGGCTGCCAGAGGCGACTGTGTTTCGGTTTCCAACAGAGCGGCTGGAGAGGAATCTCCAGCGCACAGCTTTGACCGGGTGTTACCCACTTTCAGCAGCTTTGGAAATTAGTCAGGGGTACCGCGAGCAGTCCATCTTCAGTTGGTGCAGCATGCATGGACTCATGTGAGGGATGATAAAAGACACGGAGAGCAGTTTTAAAAGTAGATGCGCCCGAAAGGTGAGAGCAATCGATTTTTTGTAAAACGATAAGAGTAAGATCAAAGGATAACGGATATGTGACACATCCAACAGTTTCAAACACATCCAAAGTACTGTAAAACGATAAGAGTAGAAAACAACGGCAATGCTGTTGAGGGACAAGCAGATGGATACGGAATTTTCACGCATCCCCATGTCGACATCATTTGTGTGTCCAAGTTCCATGGTTTCAGATCGAAGGGGGCAGTTTACAGGGATGTGCATCACATCGCAGCCCTGAGGGCACACCGCATTCCTCCATTGTTCGCTTGCATGAGTGGGTGCATCCCAGTGGCGCAAACATTCTCGTCTTCGTATGCCCTTGGTGCCGTCAATCCTGACCGCCTCGGAGCACAGGCAAGACTCGGTGAAAACACTTGAGCGATTCCCTGCCTGGGAGTACCCTAAGCCTTGACACCGCCAGACACCCGTGCTTAGTCTCAGCTGCCCGTCTCAGCAGCACTACAGCCACATGAAAGCCTAAGCTTCAGAACATAGAGCCATGCAGGCTTGGACTTGAATTCACAAGCACCTCAACAGTTGCACTATTGAGCATCTTCCCATTCCCTTTCATTCCGCTTGAGATTGGGACCTCGCACCCGAACAGTGGCGGCAGCCAGATGCCTAGACACAGTCATCTTCCCCTCAAGATGTTTCTACTCCATTCTTGGCTCCACCTTTTGCCAGACCGTGCAGTTAAGTGTGCCTCGCGGCCGCAAAGGTTGGACTCAACCTCACGCGGCCCGACTGGCAAGGCTTCCTTCCGGATCGAGCTGGGCTTTCCAAGGGCTTCAAAGGGGTCGGGCAAGGAATCGGGTGGTTTTGTTTGGGTTGTCGATGCCCAGGCTACTGCACGTAGGCTAGCGTGGAATCCAGCTCCAGTCGAAGCACCTGGTGCCACTGCGAACTTAAGACCGTCAGCCTCGACAGTGAGAATGTGGGCTTGCTCCAGGTTTGGGATATTTTGGGATGCTTGAGGAAAGGGCATC